AAGCATTAAAATGCAAAAAAAAACCGTTTGAACTGTTGAATCTAAACTTGGTTGTTTAAAAAATAAGGTTCAGTAGCTGAACCTAGATCCAGTACCTTTGTGCCCTTAGGTTCAGCTGCTGAACCTAAAAGTACAGTTTTTGGGAGTTAGGTTCAGCAGCTGAACCTAACAGCAAGATTTTGGTAGTTAGGTTCAGCTGCTGAACCTAAAATTGATTTTTTTGATTTTTAGGTTCAGCTGCTGAACCTAAAAAATAAATTGTTGAATTTAGGTTTAGCAGCTGAACCTAAAATGTTGTGTATTTATTTCAAATATTTAGTTGGTGAATCTAGAACTTCAAGTTTGAACCTATAGGCTCAGTTGTTTGAATGTTTCTTCAAGCATTAAAAAATAACATGGATTTAGCTTTAACAAAAATAAATTCAATATTAAAAACAAATAATTTTGATTTCATTTAAGTCTATTTTAGATTTATGTTTCAATGTTACAATGCAAAAAGGTTCAATTCTTTGGTTATGTATATATGTTTTTTTAATGAAATATACAATAACTCTAATATATGTAGTTGTTTGGTTTTGGTTTGTAATAGGGGTTTTCATGTGATAATATTATATATGGTTAAACAGTTGAAATATTTAAATATATATTGAAAGCCTTCATGGCATCCCATGTTACATTATAATTAAAGCCTATATGGCCACCCATAGCATGTACTTTACAAAAAAAAAGAGGCCTTTTTGGCATCCCATACCATGATATTTCAAAGGCCATACCTTGCACTCCATGAATATAAAGAAAACAATATGTATTTTAGTGATTCCATCTATGTTTGATATCATTGGGTTTAAATACTTTGGACAACTAATGCTTGATCATGGCATATGCACAATACAGTCCAACCAACACTACTTGTTTATCATGTGACTATATTGCTTTGGTTCAAGCACCAGTAAGACCAGTCAGCTGGATGCAACCAAACCCAGTAACATGACATTTTGTGCCATAATCTAGCCATGTTTGTTACCAACTTTTGGATGATATTTGTTATACCACCACCTTTTTTTTCACCAACCCTGACCACAGCCATGAATGATGCCATGGGTGGTGATGATGCCCCATCCACAGATATGGACAGCTCCAGCAGCAGTTCCACCAATGTGACCAAGTCACCACCTCCCAGGAGCCCACCAAAGAGTCCAGATATCAATGCTCCACCAAAGAGCCCAGGCAGTGCCATGAGTTGGCCACCCATTGATGCCAAGGCTTGGATGCCAAAAGAAATTGCAGCCATGACAGCTGAAGATGGATGGCCCAACCAGGCTGCCATGGCTCTCCAGGCCCTTGGTGCTCCAAAAGCCACCTTTGCAAACATAGCCAAGAGTTCTCCAACTTCTCCACCAGATGATGACCCCCAATCACCACCACCATATGTGGATCCTGCCATTGGAAAAATGGTTCCCAAGACACCACCAAAGATGCTACCAGTGGCAGCCAAGAAGCCTGCACAAGCACCACAGCACCAAGCTGAGTTTGCAACTACCAGCAGTAAATCAGCCAAGTGGGTGCGAACACAGCTTGCACCAGTGCCAGCTGGACCTGTCCACCAGGCCAAGGCCAAGCAACCAGGCAGCCAAGCACCACCTCAGGCTGCTTCACAAGGAGGATACCCAGCTTCTCAAGCCAGCAGGCAAGCTAGAAAAGCCATGCCAATTGCACCTCCAAATGTTCCAGAGACACCAGCAAGTTCATCACATGCACCACAGCATTCTACACCAGCCAGTTCATCACATGCCAAGCAGCTACCACACTCAGCAGCAAAAGCACCACAATCACAGCCAAAAGCACCACAATCACAGCCAAAAGCACAACAAACACCACCAAAAGAGCCAGCAAAGGCAAAGCCTCCTTTCTGGATACAGGCACCAAGTGGCCAGGCCAAGCAACCTGCAGCCCCAGACATATCCAGAGCCACTGGATGGAAGAACAAATTGGCATTCTTCACCAAGTATTGGGCAGCAGGAAGCTACGAGGTGACCACCAATGCCATTGCCCAATTCACCATTGATCTAGAAAGGACCCAAGACCAATTGGAGGGGATCTCAACCAAAGCCATGAATCCAGCCAGAAGAAGCTGGCAAGCAAATGCGTACAGCCTGGTCCACCACTACAACCAACAGAATTGGCATGCCATTAACCAAATGGTATACCAATGGAGGAGGGACAAACACTTCGACAACTTGGTCCATACAGCAGAATCCATTGACCAAACCTATACCCAGGATTTGCGTCAGCCAGACTGGTGGACCAGAAGATAGTTTCACCATTCCCAGATGCAAGCATCCAGCAGGCAAAAAAGAAAGCTTGCTGCCAAAAGCCTTTTGGCTTCCCATGTGCCCATGTTTTTGCCATTTGTAATCCAGCTGTGTGTTTACAGATGGTGTATACATATACCTCTTGCTTTTCACAAAAGCCACATGGCTTCCCATGTTGGGCATGTAGCTTCCAGCTGAGCAAAAGCCTTTTGGCCTCCCATGTGCCTTCCATGGTTTTTCTTGAACCACCAATGCCATATTCTTCCCCATCTTTATCTATATTGAATGATTGCTATATAGAAGAAAACCCATATGGCCTTCCATGTTCCCAGCTTCACTTTCAATAGCTATGTGGCATCCCATGGAACTTCTATATCTCCCCATTGCATGACCCATTTATATCCATTTATATAGCATATGAATTCCATGATGATAAACCATATGGGTTTCCATGATGACAATCAAAACCAATTTCATGCTTACATATGATCATGTGTTTTGACTTTTTTGTGGAAACCATTCCAAAGCCCCAAGCTCGCCTGTGCCACCACCTATAGGTGCATCCATCTCCAGCCCAGTGCAGCCATGGCTCCTAAGCTTTCCACCATGAAAGCCATGAAGACCAGCATGAAGGTCGCCATGAATTCCATGAAGGCCACCAAGGTGGAGTCCAAGAAAGACACCAGCAAGTCTGCCATGCCAGAGGATGATGGAACCAAGCCACTTGGGCCACTGCTGCGTCTTTGCTGCAGCACCAAGGGATGCACCAGTTGGATTTGGGGTTGGCGCCTTTGGGTGCTCCCACACTGCCAGGTGTGCATGACACCATGGAGGACCAGCTTCATGAAGAATGGCTTGGAGATCCACCAGCCCAAGCCCATGAAGACCAAGATGCCAGAGATGAAGGCCATGAAGGGGACCAAAAGATCATTGCCCAAAGCGATGCCCAAGATTGTCCAGAAAGCCATGAAAGCCCAGAAGGCCATGAAGGCCATGAAGTGACAGCTAGGACTTGGGCATCCACCAATGTATACCTTCCCAATTTGTCTGTGTGAAAAATATGCATTGCTGCTGGGATGGGGTGGGGCGGCCATGACAGCCACCTTGGCTTCCCATATGTACATGTTGTTTGTACCCATTGTTTTTCCAGAATTTTTCTTTTGCAGCCAGTGTATATGGGTTTCCATCTTCCAGATCGCAAAAGCCACCTTGGCTTCCCATATCTGCATACTGTTTTTTCTTCCACCTATTCATTTTTGGAAACTACCTTGGCATATTACAATCTTTGAGGTTGCAAAAGCCATCCATGGCTTCCCATATCATGCCAAACAATCTCTGGAAATGCCACCACACTAGTGCCACAATGCAACTATTCCAATGTTAAGTCTTTCACAAAGACAATGTTTCTTTCCATATTCAAATTCAAGAAGACCACATTCTCAAATTCAAAACCTTCCAGCTATTTGTTGCAATAACAAATTCCAAATTTCAGATGCAAACCATATCCATTGTTGATTTTCTCCTTTTATCATCCACAGCCATTCCAGGCCTTATACATACAGACAGAGACCCATCCCATCATCACTGCAGCTATGGGAAACTTGCATCAAAGACTTATTTTGTCTATGGTATGCTGATAGCATCAAAGGCCCACAAACACTTTTTGGCATAAATCACACATGCACCATATCATGGTAAACAAACCTTGGTGCAGGTGTTTTCCATGGATGCATGTAGTGATAGTTTCCCAGTAGAACATATGGGCACCACCCACAAGCTTTCATCCACAGCCATGTGACCAAACCCAAGCCAAAGAGAGGATGCCACTGCACTCCTTTGAGCCACCAGCCATGGGGAAGACTTTATGCCACAGAATCCATGCCCATTGGAACGACCCCTTTTTTCCACCCAGTGCCACTGGGTTGAAAGCAGGGTTTGCCCCATAGAGGGAGGTAGGGTGGGAGGGGGGTGGCCCAACCTGTGACCTGGCTGGGCCACCCCAAACAAGGAGGGCTGCCATTCAGCTCTCCATCGCCAAATGACTCATAGCTGCCACCATGGCACTGCACATGTGGGTCAGGCACCTGCAACTTGATGCTTCCAGTCACTGGCTGCCAAGCAGGGTGCAGGCTGTCAGCACCCTTGCATGGCAGCCAGTGACTGGAAGCCAAGTAAATAGCCAACAAGGTGCAAACCATTAAGGGGTGCCATTTTTGACATGGCAACCACATTGGTTGACTGTGCACTGTGGACCATTGATGCCTTGGAGAAGCACCATGCCAAATGCCACATTGGAAGCTCCACTGGCTTCAGTCCCATGGACAAAATGTTTTAATCAGTTCCATGCACCAAGAATTATCTTACAAGACAGCAGCCACTGTGGTGCTACCTTGCCAAATTTATCGCCAAGCTTGGAAAAAAGATAGCTGCTGCTCACATGTTCCATGAGTTTACAGCAAAAGCTTCTCAGCTACCCATGTTTTTTTTTAAAAATAAGCTTCTGAACATGGAAAAAAACATGTGTGTACATGGTGCAAGTCTACATATATTAATTTCAAAAGCAGCTTTTCTACTAAAACTAACAATTTTCATCATGCAGCGGAATGACACTAAAGGCAAGCCGAAAAAAGTTATACATAGTTACTAACTAACATAACTTCCATAACTAGTTATAACAAAACCAGGATTTCAAGTTGCATTTGCATGCAAGGGTTGAGCACACTTTGCGCAGGTCTTGGGTGCCCGCGCTTGCTTTGCCACGCACGCACGGCAAATTCCGGTTTGCGAGTCTGCACTGTAGTGCACAAGGTGGGACACACTGATGGCTTTGTTGCAATTGCTGCACAAACCCTGTTTTGCCTTTGCTGTCACTGGGGCGACAGCACACTTCTTGCAGCGTGCTCTTCGGAGTTCTTTGGTTCTTTTTCTTCGTGCGATTTCTTCCGGGCTAAAATCTAGCAGGCTTTTTGTTTTGAGTTTCTTCCCGATATCACACTTGCTGCAGGCCAAGCGAATTTTGGCACACTTCGAACAGTAGCCGGTCTGGTCGGCTGGCAAGGTCTGGCAATATGCGCAGGCATTCACTGCCTTGGGCTTCCCCTTGGCTGCAGGGCTGCTTTGCTTCGTTTTACACTGGGTGCAAAGGCGACACATGCCGTCTGACAGTACACGGTACCATTCCTCTGGGTCCCAGGCCGAAACGAATTCTCGAAGTGGCAACAGTTTCTCTTGTAGATGCGGTTGTGGACTGCAACCGCGGCAAAACAACAGGATGTCACGATTCTTCTGCTTGTTCGGCTTATCTTTTTCAAAGCGAGCTTTTGCTTCTGGCAGGGTCAGCTTTTCGCGATGCACTTCTAAGAATGTGTGGGGTCCAATTAACTCTCCGTGACTAAACAAGTTGGGGGAGAAGGGTTGGACTATGCACAAATCTTCGCTTTTTCGGACCCTGGACAGGCACATGTACCCGCTAAGCAATGCCTCGCGGGACGTCGTGGCATCCCAGGTGCCAAGGTCTAAGGTGCATGCACCTAGGGTGGCCCCCATAAAAGAATGCGCTGTGCCAGCGTAATCGGATGCTATTGGGGGGTTGAGGGGGGATTGTTTGCGCTCTTTTAGTATTTAAAATTTTCAGAGATGACTTTGCTATTGGAAAGCCACGTCGAGAGACGGTAGTTTTGCCGTTCGTTTCCAGCGTCCACGTCTGGGTGACGGGTTCAATCCGAGCGACGCCAACCGGCAGGTCTGGATGTTGTTGCCAGTTTGCCCCGGCCACTCTGACATACAATGCAAGTGGAAGGCGTTGTAGCACGATGTCTCGGCCTTCTGCTGTTTCGACGGTGTCTTTGTCGACATCGTGCAGTGTCCAATTCCAAAGGATGCCCCGGGTGTTTTTGAAGAGCCCGAAAGCTTTCAGATCGGACAGGGTTTGCGTGACTCGGATTGGCATGTTGTGGAGAAGGGGCAAGATTCCGACGACACCGCCGGTGGACTGGTCATGGCGCTGTAACCAATTTTCGCGCCGGGCTTGTAATTCCGTCGCCTCCACATGAAAAAGCGGGGTATCTTGAGCAATTATCCAAAGCAACTTGTGCTTGCGAGTGCTGGCGACCCATTTGGCACGAAGGTTGGCTGCAATGTACTTGGCGGCATTCAGCCCATGCACAAACGGATGGTTAAGGAAGTGCTCGGCTTTTGGGTCTTTGCCTACGATGCATCGACGTGCCCTTTCTTGGTGGCAAATTACACATTCCAACTGGTTGGGGGCAGTGGGTTGAAGATGTAGGTTGTTGCAAGTTTTTTGGCCGCAGCTGGCTTCATTGTTTTGAAAGGACCACGAGCCCGCATGGAGTGTTGGAAACCCGTGTAAGAAAGACCACACTTCCTGCGACATGTTTCCATGTCTCGCCTGGTGAAGAATTTGGCTGAGCCAGGCGTCCTCGCACCGCTGTTCGCGGGTGAGCTCAAACAGGTGCGGGATGGCAAGCCAGGTGTGCGACCAACAGATTTGCTGCAGTGCGTTGACTTGGAAGGTTGTGTTTGACTGGAAAGGGTTCTGGTAAATGGCTGTGGCTTTGACTGGCGGGAACTGCCACAAGTCCCCGGTCAAGATGAGGTTGCGCCCTCCGAATGGCCTCCGTTCTCCTCCTGGCCAAAGTTTCCACGTATCCCGATCTCTGGTAGACTGCTGCAGGCGTTTCTCCAGAGTGGCCAATATTTCGAGCCCGACAGTCGAAGATTCATCCACCACCAGCCACCGTAGGCGTTGATACTTAGCGAACTGTTCCGGTGTGCTGGTGTTTTTTGCTCGGGCCGTTTTGGTTTTCACCTGGATATTGGCAAACGAGTGTAGCGTCATGCCAGCAATAAGTGCAGCTTGGGTGTTCTGCGGTGCCAAGTATACAAACTCTTGTTGATGCTGCCACCTACACAAATCTTCGAAAAAAGCACGCAACCACTTGAGGGTTTGGGTTTTGCCTGCACCTGGAACCCCGTGGAACACTGCACGCAAAGGCTCACTGCGGGAACTTTCGGCCTGTTCTTCTTGAGCCTCTGTGAGGCAGCGGTCGACGACAGCACGCAGGAATTTCAGTTGTTCGACTGTGGGTTTACATGCTGACCGCGTCTCCGCATTTGCTGCGCGCGGTTCTGCACTGGCTGAGCGCTGCTCTGCACTGCCTGCGGCTGAATCGACTGCCACCGAGCCCTGCTCTGCGAGACGCTGCAGCCATGCTGTGGCAGACTCCGGCGTTAGCTTGCCGTAGGTCCAGCTCAGGGGTTCGAGCTCCGGCAACGGCGTCGGTTGCTGCCGTTTCCTTTGACTATCATCAAGCTTTATGTCAGTTATTCCACTGTTTCCAAACCAAGAGTTTATTGCATCAACCTGCGGAGTAGCTTCCCATTCCTCAACTATGCGGCGTACCGCTGGACCTGACCGTTTCGAATATTCGAAGCCCACACCTCGGACAAGTTTATCGATGGTGTCAGAAGTTACCCAGGTTGTATCCACTTCATGGTCTGTTGGCTTGGCTGGTGTTTCGGCCAGGTCGACTTCTTCTGGATCACACTCCGTTGCGGACAGAAAGTTTCGAATAGTGCGAGCTGCATGTTCAGACACAACGTGCTGCTGGATATATGCTCTCCATGCTAAGTGGTGACTTCTTGGACCAGGTGCTGTCTTCGTCCGCAAGCGTGTACCCGGGTTGAGACTATTACTTCTTATCTCTAAGTCTAAAGCACTGATGTGCGGGACATGCGGGGTAGCACTTTTCAGATCAAGTGTCCAGGGCCTCAGATAGACATTGAGGAGCCTCGCCTGTGCATCCTTGGACATGTCGGGCTTCGGCAACGGACAGGTCGTCGGATATGGGATCAGCGGTTCGGTCCGTCTTTCCAGATAGTATTCCTGCACTCGACTGCATCCATTGCACTGCGGTAGCCGGACCAGGTTGGCGGCTCGGCTATTTGGCAAGGGATGTTTCCAAATGTAATCACGGCCATATTGCCAGCCATCCACCGGTTTCCGGTCGGTGCCTTGCTTCCTCACCCAAACACTGAGCCCTTGTCCGTCTTCAGTTGCATTTTTGGTGGGCGGCTGTAATTTTTTTAGACTCCACCATTTGATAAACTCCCACGGAGACAAGTGAAACACCCGCTCGTCGGTTCCCCGCCACCCGTATATTTCGGATGACTTCAGAGTACTTTTGTGCGGGTTGGGGGGTTCCACTTTATGACGAATGTCTGTGACAAGGTCTAATATACCAACCCACTCGATTCCTACAAACGGGACAACGGGAAAGGTCCGGATGCACTCGGCGGTGGTGGGATCGGTCATGTTGCTGAAGCCCGCAAGCATGAATTCTTCGGTGACTGGGCGGACTGAGCAACGAAATTCGAGATCCCCGAAGACTCTGTGCACAACTTTGCGGTAGTGTGCTGCAGGGTCATCTTTGGCAGCTGCTTCTTCCAGGAAATGCAATTGCTTGGCCGCTTGTTGCAATTCTTTTCTTCCCAGCGGCTGCGGCTTCTGCAAATAGCCGGTGAAATATCTGGTGGACCGGCGGGCTGCTTGCGCCATCGCCCGTTGCAGTTTTGGGAGCATGTTCTTTGCCAAGCAGCCTCGGGTGCAGTCGGTGTCGTGGGTGTTCGCCGACAAGGGCACCCGAAAATTTATCGCGGTGTGTGAGTTGCCAAATAACATGAGGGCGAATGCATGCATGGTGCCTGACAACCAAGGATTGTCTCTTTTGTCTAAGACCATGCCTAATGCATTCCGCCGCCCGGCAGTGCTCTGTGCAAATTTTCGTGCGTTCCCTCTGCAAATTACTCGAACTTTTTCGTTCAGCACTTTTGGAAAATTGTGCTTACACTTGTTTGGCGCCCCCTTCTTTCTGCAACCGGCGATTGGCAACCGACACTTCTGCGTGACGTTCCACGGATGCCAGTGCAGCTGCTGATGGCTGATCTTGCTCTGTGCTGCTCGACGGTAGTGGTGGATGAAACGACTTGCATCGGCCAATGCCTGCTTGGGTTCCACTGCGTTCAACCATGGACTGGCCGCTTTGTCCTCGGCAAGGAATTTGGGCCACTGACACAAAAAATCGTGGCTTGCTTTGCAGTTGTTCTGGGCCCAGTCTGCTTCAAGGTGGTCTTGCTGTTGCGTATGGCTTGCTAGGTCAAGATGGGATTCGGAGTGTGCCCATGTCAAGAATTGTTGCACGTCCTCGAATGTGATGGTGCTGTCATTCAGTTTGGCTGCAAGTTCACTCAAAGATTGTTGCCAAATGGACGCGATGTACACGTTGCAGTGGAAATGCGGTGTGGAATTGGCTTGATATTCGATTGCTCCGCATAGGCCGCTGGCAATGCCAAGGATGCCCCCCGTCACGTGACACCCGTGTCCGCGTGCATCGCGGCAATCGCATGCTGGGCAACGAAAGCACATGCGGATGCCGAGCAGTTTGGCGAAGATGCACTGCACCACGGTTTGGAAGCTGAGAACGACGGCCCACGGATCCCTCGCAGTGAGCTGTCTGCGAGTGTCGTATGGCGGCACGTTGATGGTCGCTTCTGCCGTCTCCCATAGCTTCGGGTGCTCGCGCGCTCCTTCGGCGGTTCCGCCCGGATCTGCGGCGCGATAGCGGCTGAATTTGATGCACAAGGTGTTATGACGGATTGTGGGAGATATGGTGATGAAGAGGGGTTCTCCCATCTCAACCCTGGCCCCGAAGAGGAAACGTCCTATCCGACGTCGTACTTCAATCGTTCCAGGCATATGGCCTTGCATGCCTTTCACGTCCTGGAGCAATTCCTTTTCATCGGTTGTGAGGCCGCGGGCATAGGGGAGTTTGCGGGTGTCAAAGTGTATAGGTTTAGGCTTCCCACCTGCAGTGGTATATGTGCCGGATCTCAGCTTGTTGTAGAGGCCACGAGCCGCTTGGACCCACTTGAGCATAGGTGCCGGTGCAATGGCTTGCCGTTGTGACTTCCATTTCTGCCACAGCGAGCCCTGCCACACCGAGTGCCATTTGAATGTCAATCGTCGCAGCCCGGGAATCACTAATACGTTTTTTTAATTAGGTTGGAATTATGTTACTTAGAGTGAACTTAGGTGAACTTAAGATAGGTAGTCTTAAGACAACTTAGAACGAAGTTACTAAGTTCATCTTAAGTTGAAGCTAAGTAGCTTTTTTTTTGGAAAATGTGGTTTCCCTTTGCTGGCGCATGCTTTTGGTTTTGTGCGGTTTTGTTAGTAGAGGAAGGTGATGGCCACCACACTGGCTCATAGATCTCATGGTGGGGTTTCGGTCTGCACAGAGCAAAAAAGTGGCTGCAGAGAAAATCTCATGGCCGACACTGGCCGACATCCAGCCGACACGCGGTGTGCAAACCTGCAATATGGTGTTTAATATTACTTTAGCAGGGCCGACATGCAGGCCGACATGCTGCGAACGTGTTAAATGTGAATGCTGGCCGACATCTGGCCGACATGCCATGCAGACGCAAAATGTTCTGTTTTGCAGTCTTTGATCCTTTCCATGTCATATATGGTGTTTGATCCAACATGAATGGTTTCCCCAACAGATTTCCCCCAAATGGCTACAAAGAAAGTCAGTCCTGAGAGCTGTTTGTCACAAAAAATGCAACAATAGCTAACTAGACTTAAGTCAAACCTAAGTATGATCTAACTCCAACCTAAGTAAAACATGTTAAGTCGCATAAGTTGGTCTAAGTTGCTTTAAGTAACTTATAACTAATGATATATACTTATAACTTACTTAAAGTACCTTAACCCAAGTTAACCCAACTTGTAAACAGCTTATGAAAAACTTATATGCTGAATATAAACAACTTATATTAAAAAAAACATATTAGCAGATCCCATGAGTTGCGAATTGAACTCTCAATGCGTCCGGCCAGGAGTTTCAAGTGTGCCAAGGGTTGCAAGTGCGGCGCATCTGCGGGCCTCCGTGGTCGCTCTTTGTGGGGAAAGTCCGGACCACTGACGGGTGCGGGGAGGCTGAAGGGAAAAGCCCAGGGGAGAAAGTCATTCTGCCACTGGTCCCAGAAGTTGTGCCCGGTTCGAATGGTGAGTGTGTCAGTCGCATTGCTTAACTGCAACAACATGTCGACGTCGGGGTCTTTCCACTCTGCACCCGTGTAATCTTGTGACAATACGTTGGGTCTCACACTGGCTACGAAGGATTCGCCATTCAAAGCTGTGTCTGCGACTGACTCGGGCGTTGCATGCTTCTGCGGCAGCGGCTGGCTTGCGTCTTCACTGGCAGAAAAAAAAATCCGAGAATGGCTCGGACGAGCCGATGTGGCCTTTTCGTCGCTTTTGTCTGATGTGGTTGCCTGAGCGCTGCTCTGGCTTGTCACCTGCGGTGATAGGTCGTCGCCCGGCGAGGCATCCCGCTCAGGCTTCACATGCACTAATGGAAACTTGCCGTGGCTAAGTGCTGACACTGTAACTTCTTGCTTCTGTGACGAGGTCGAGTCTGCTATGACTTCAGCTGTCACCGGAGGGCTGCCCTGATCTTCTCTCTCTGCTACCATCTGGCACATGCTCTGGGTTGGCATGTCGTGCAAGGTTGCGTTCTCATCGCTGCGGCTTGTATGCTGTGGAACCGTTTTGCTGTACACTTGGGTTGTTTCTTCGGATTGCAGGTGGGAAACGATCTTTGGGGATGCAGTTTTCACAAGAGAAGACTTGAAATGTTGCACCTCAGACGCTGGCTGAAACGAGCTCTGGCCGCTCATGGTTGGGGCATCGGTCTCGTCATTTGCACTGGTTGCTTCTGAGTTCACATTAGCTGCTGCCTGAGCGCTGCTCTGGCGTCGCGCGCAGGGGCGCGCGCCGTTTGATGTCCCAGTCGGTGAAGGAGTTTCGTTCAAGTCGACTAGCGGCCTTGTTTCGTCCACCCCATAGGTCCAGGTCACACGTTGCGTCACTGCTGTTTTTGCCTCCTCTGCCGACAAGTGCGACGCACACATTGGATGTTGCATGTCGATGAGGTGATGTAAGAGTGCACTGACGACCCAGGGTCGGATGCGTGCTCCTGCTACCCACTCGATTGCCTCATTGTATAACATGCCCTTCACATTGACTTTGACAATAGCTTGGAGGACATGTGGCGGGTGAGGCAACCTTTCCCAAGAGGTGTTCTGCCGAGTCTCGGGGGCCAATGCAGCGAGCACCTCTTCCCATGGAATGCTAAAGGAAGACACATTGCCTCGGATTGCGGTTCTGTGTTCGGGCCGATGCAAGTGCTCTTCTATCAAGTTGCCTCGGTCGGCTTCCAGGTAGTAATTGATGACGGAAGTCCAGACCGGAGAAGCAGCTGCCGCTTCTATCCAACGCACTCTGTGGGTGTACAACAACTCTGTTGGGTATCCAAACCAATTGTCGTTTGCAAGGGCTTCTGGCACTGCACAGGCGTCCTGTTTACACATGTGTTCGAGGCAATTGCGACACAACGGCAGTTCACAAGCCTCACACAGTTGCAGCGCATTCTCGACGCAAAGTCCGCAGCGGACATCTTCTGGGCAGCATATGAGTCGCACCCCGTTGCAGATGGTTGCTGGCAGTGTTCGAGTCCACTCGTGTGCTTCGAAACGATTGGTCACAGCAGCCAACGTAGCATATTGCGTCATGTACCTTTCCAAGTTCCAGTTTGCTTTGACCGCTTCTGGGGTCAGTGCATTGAATAACTGCTTGACGGATATGTAGGCAATCTCCCCTCCCATGCCTCCTGGACTCACTCGGGCGCAGCAGGCGCAAATCAATGCTTGGCAAGTGTTGTCGTCCAAATCCACTTGTAATCGACGCAGTGTGCGCCGATCGACGCTCCAGCCAACTTGTGGGACCTGCCCACGTTCCCTTTCTAGCACTGCAGCTGTGTATGTTGAAGCCACAAGTTCACGGGGTGTGTTCGTAAAGTGTTCAGCATGACACTCATCGAGGTGTGCCCACAAGCACACCTCCCCGTTTCCACAGCACTGCAAGGTAGTGTGTGCCCATGTTGTTGCTTTCATGTTCCACACCTTTTCCTTTGACCAGTGCGGGTGGCACGGTTGTGTGTCGGATGCCCACCCGCATCCCTCAAAGGCACAATGCACGGCTGGGTATACGAGACCACTATTAGGCTGCATGGTGGGGAATTCCGTCATCGCGGCTGGAGATGGCAGCAGAGGATGTTGTCGCAGTTGGAATGCTGTGCGTCGAATGCGTTCTTGGTCGCGATCTTCGGCAGTGACCCATGTCTTTGTCGCGTCCACGGCGACTTCTACTTCAGCGTCATCGGTGGTCTCGGACAGGTTTGAATCCCAGGAAAGCACGCTTTCAGAATCCACGTCGGTTGCTGCACCCTCCGACGCTTCTGCGTCGTCATGCCCTTCCCAGACACCAGTGGCTGCCTCTTTGTCGGCTTCAGTTGTGTCATGCACCTGCTGCGACCGATTTGGCTGCCGCGTTGTTGCATCCCATTCTGTCGCAGTGGTGCGGCTGGTCTGCTGCGATTGCCCGGCTGCCTCTGCTGTTGGCCGCTCTGCATCCCCTGCGGCATGGGTGTCGCACACTGCACTCGGATCTGCAACGTGCGCTGACTGACTCTGCGGCGACATGGGTGACACTTCCACTGGGTTTCGGAGGCTTTCTGCAGCAAGACACAACACTGCTTCTGCACTCTGTGTTCTCCATGTTTCCAACCATGGTGTTTCAGGGAATGGTTCGCGCAATGCTGCCGCGCGTTGGACGAGATCATAGTGCCCGGTGATGCCAGTGTTTCGGTGGAAAAGTTCTAAGACATTTGGATGTTCTTGCAACTTCTCTTGTGTTTCTGCATCGGTGATGTAGGCCATGTCCCGGATCCAAATGTTTTTGTTCTCTTCTTGGCTCCAAATGAGACAGTGAAAGTCAAAGGCTTGTGTGAGTGCCCACAATTCTACCACGGACCCATGGTGAATGGAATCTAACATCCGTGGCTTTTCCAAAACCGCCACCACTTTACTCCAAAGCACGATTTCGGCAGCTGTCAAACCTTCTGCTGCCTCCAACTGCTCTGCTTGCTGAAGGAACCCCAGGTGTAGGCCTGCTTCTCGGTCATCAAACGGCACACTGGCAATCGCAACCTCATCTGCTCTGGGTCCATTCTTTTGCTTACACATCCATTCTAAGGCTTGCAAGTATAACTTTGCAGCTTCGGATACCGACCACGACTGCCAACCGCGACAATGGCGAAGTACGGCATGGAAAAAACACCAACCGTCACCAGGGATTTTGATTAGCTCACACCCTATTCGGGTCTGCACACGGACGGCAATTTTCCGGTCCTCATCCTCCTCCACTTCTTTCTGGACACTCGGGTTGCTAGGTTGTGCTCGAAGCGAGGATGCGGCATCCACTACGTCTGCAACTCTAGCTTTCTTGCTAGCTACGTGATTGCTGCCGGCACTCGTGTCTATGCATTGGCTGGGTGTGGACTCTTCTGCTTGTCGTCTGTTGGCTTTCTTCATCGTGTTGCCATGCATTGCACGCATCAACTGGTTTCTAAGTTTGCGAGAGGTTGACCATGCGTTGCTGACTGGTTGCACTGCTGCGATGTTTCCCTGGCAAACGCATTCCACACAGACCCAACTGGCTGGTGATAACAAGAAGATGGCTGCAATCAACATTTGCATTCTACTTCGTGGCGATCCTGGTTGCCGCCTTGCTTTCACCCGAGCGTTGCCCACCCGACGTGCTTTCCTGACCCACCCACTGCGCAGTCGTGCACTGGCTAGAGCACGTTGCGCTTGGCATGCAAAGACACAGGTGAAGAGATTTCCTGCAAACAGGAAATCTAGCTGCTTTGTGCTGGCACACAAGCATGCTGCGGTGACTGCCATGCCCCAGCTCAAAGATGTATATTTCCCCGGCAACCTCCGAGTCCAGTGTGTGTGCTTGCTGGCTCGGTTGCGCGACCCCTTGCCACACGCAGCCTGCACTGCCTGCCGCCGCGCCCAACAATGCTTCTTGACTTGGGAGGCAAGCCAGAACACCATGCTCAGTGCTATGCAGCAGACGGCTACCTTGGTAGCATGCTCACGCAGTATGTCACTGGCTATGGCATCCCACTGTGTCATGGCTTTCCGCTTTGGGACAATCGTGCGTTCCGAATTCGTTGTCTGAGGTGGCGTGCTTCATTTCGTCCTTGCTACGTTGCTTGTAAAAGCACACCTGCAAGTGTTCCACTCATTTTTTAGTTGTGCAATGCTCCTTTGCCGGGGTTTACTCTGTGCGTTGCATTTTCCCCGCTACTTCTTCTGTGTTTACCTTTATATCTTTCTGCAGTGCTCCGGTTTTAGACTTCCTACGCCTACGTCTCCTACTTCCGTTCGTGGAGGGTGTGTCTGTGTTTACTTCTCTGTCGGCTTTCTTTGCTTAGCCTAGAGCCTTGTCGCAACGGCCGCGGAGAGACTGTGTGCCCTAATTTGTTTACCAGTGGCGGTGTTTGCTGTCCCCTGTTCAAAGTTTCGCCCCCTCTGTGTCTTTGAAGAACTTGCTGGGATGTTTGTTGAAGCTTCTTCAGTTCCAAACGAAAAAATATATATATATATATTTTTCATATATAGATCATTATAGATCTATATAAGTATATCGTTCAGTACTCTTGCAGTCACTTTCCTCCGGTCTCTCTTAAGCGAGCTGAGACAAACTAGCCAGGCCACCCGCAAACTTGCCGGGGTCGCCCCAGAGCACCTGTCACCATGTTTCAGCAGTCACGCGGTCAGTTTTCAGCAGTCATGCTAACGCAGTGCTGTTGCAGTCGCGTCGGTTCTGTACTCTTGCAGTCAGTTCCCTCCTGTCTCTCTTAAGCGAGCTTCGACAAACTAGCCGGGCCACCCGCAAACTTGCCGGAGTCGCCCCCAGAGGACCTGTCACCATGTTTCAGCAGTCACGCGATCAGTTTTCAGCAGTCATCCTAATGCAGTGCTGCTGCAGTCGCGTCAGTTCTGTACTCTGGCAGTCAGTTCCCTCCAGTCTCTCTTAAGCGAGCCGTTACGCATCGCAAACATGTCGGAGAAACGAGCTATTGCGGGCTCCAAACATGCTGGCTTACCACAAACATGCCAGGCCGCCAGCAAACACGCCGGCCTCGCCTTCGAACACCTGTCGCCAAAACGCAAGAAGTCTGAATGCGACCGTCTGCAAAAAGAACACTGCCGACCTACAGCTTGGAACCACAGGTTGCTTACAGGGATGTTCTCGATCAAACACGAAAAACCGGGGAAACCAAAGCCACAAAAAAAGGGGGATGGCTGGATGTTGAATGAACGCGGGCTGCTGTGAGCCTGATGTAGAGCTGCAGCTTGGGAAAAAATACTCCTTGCAGTAACGACTTCTGAACCTAAAAGACTGCATCGGTTGTCAACGAAGCAGCCACCAATTTTACCGTCCATAAGCTATCCACAAACCAGCAACAAATAACCGATCCCTTAATTTACTCCCTCCCAAGCACCGCCGTTCCAGCCGGCACGACACCCACCTCGATGTCGTGTTCGACTACGATGCACTGTCGCGACCGGCCACGCCGAGCCTTTCTTCACCAAGCTGCAGCCCTAAACCACCGCCGCTGCCAGCGCTGAGCGCTGCTCTGCGCTCGCTCCCGCCGTGTACGCGTCAGACAGACGCAGACATGGCCGTGGTTTCCCAATGCCTTTGATCGTCTCTAACCACACTAAACACTGATAACCAATAAGGTTGCAAACGGGGATGCTGCCATTTATGGTTAACAAGCATGTTGGCTACCCATCACTGCCCCTCGTAACTCTGTACCCCTCCACTTTCTAACTTCTACTCATCCAACGTTGTTGCCTCGGTGAAAACACTTGAAACAACGAACCGTCTGCGGCGAACCGACTATATGCTAGACCACTGCGATGGGTTGCGACTCAACAAGCAATAGCTGGGCCCTGATGAAGAAATTGGTTCACATCTACCTCTGGTTACAACAAAGGTTGCCAGCGTTGATGCTTGCTTCTCTCGCTTGCGCAAACTCAATGTGCAAGATGGCTCTCCCGACTTCGGTGTACGCCACGTACACCCGGGCTGTCAGCCCCCTTCGGATGAAGGATGCTGCCGGGACGCCCGAAGTCCCGGCCCCCGTCTTACACAGGGAACAACAACAACGACGACCACGACAACAACAACAACAACAGCCACAACCACAACCACAACAACCACAACAACAACAACAACAACAACCACAACACCGGCTCGGGCTGACGGGTCTGCTTTTGCCGGCGCCCGGCTGTCAGGCGTAAGCCTCATAAATCCGGGCGCCGGCCCCGCGCCCGTGTCCTCGCCGGAGGCCTTCGGTGGTAACCGAAGGTTATATACGGCTGCGCCCCCTGCCGCCGACCACCTCGGGTCGACCCCGTGTCGATTCCGGTTCACCCCCGACCCACGATTATCGTTGTAATTTACAGTGTATTCTGCGTGTGGTGTTCAAAAAACATCGTTTTTTACAGGGTTTTGTGGCCTTCGCCGTCTCCAGGTTTCATCTTGGCGACGTTGCAAAACCATGGGTTTTTCATGGTTTTGGGTCTTAGGCAGGGGTCCGGAATGGAAAACTGGCCATCTTGACGGCTTTGGTGTCCACATAGGGCCAACATCCGCCAAGATGCGGGCTACCTGGGTCAACATAAGGCTAAGATGGGGGCAAGCCTGCGCCAACATAGGGCCAACATCGGCTAAGATGTGGGCCAGATGGGCCCGCCTCGGGCCAAGATAGGGCCAACATGGGGCCACATGGGTCCACATAAGGCCAGGCTGGGGCCAACATGGGCCATGATAGGGGCAAACCTGCGCCATCAAAGGGCCAACATCGGCCAAGGTGGGCCCACATAAGGCCAAGCTAGGGCCAACATCGGGCCACATGGGCCCACATAAGGCCAAGATAGGGGCAACATGGGCCATGCTAGGACCAACAACAACCACCACCACCACAACAACAACAACAACACTAACAACAACAACAACAACAACAACAACAACAACAACAACAACAACAACAACAACAACAACAACAACACACAACAACACAACAACAACAACAACCAACAACAACAACACAACAACAACAACAACAACAACAACAACAACAACAACAACCACAACCACAACAACAACAACAACCACAACAACCACAACAACAACAACAACAACAACAACAACAACAACAACACCGACAACAACAACGACGACAACAACAACAACAACAACCACAACCACAACAACAACAACAACAACCACAACAACAACAACCACAACAACCACAACAACAACAACAACACCGACAACAACAACGACGACAACAACAACAACAACAACAACAACAAAAACAAAAAACACGACCACGACAACAACGACAACAACAACAACGACAACAACAACGACAACGACAACGACAACAACGACAACAAACCACAACCACAACCACAACAACCACAACCACAACAACCACAACCACAACAACAACAACAACACCGACAACAACAACGACGACAACAACAAAAAAAAAAACACGACCACGACAACAACGACAACAACAACAACAACAGCGACAACAACAACCACAACAACAACAACAAAACAACAACAACAACAGCAACAACAACAACAACAACAACCACAGCAACAGCAACAGCAACAGCAACAACAACAACCACAGCAACAGCAACAGCAACAGCAACAACAACAACGACAACACCACCAACGCCCGCTCGGGCTGACGGGTCTGCTTTTGCCGGCGCCCGGCTGTCAGGCGTAAGCCTCATAAATATAATTAAACCTTCAACTGGTTAAGACATTCTTCACCTTGACTTCCACGCTCTTCCAAGCTCTTCCAAGCCTGAAGTGCAACTGCTCGCCAAACTTCTCCACGAGCACCATCTGAGACAACCCCTGCGAGCTTCCGAAGCAGGGCTTGGTCCCACAGAGGGTCTGTGCGGTCTATGGTCAAATGATCCATGAGTGCCGGGCCTGCAGCTTTCAGCGGGGAAGCACTGTGCCGCATGACCCTTGCTCTTTACCAGGTCAGACATAGACATCGAAAGGTGGGGAACTGCGCAGGGAAGGCTGACTTTTCATAAGAGGACAGCAAATAGTACCCTCGAAGAAGGTGTAGAACGGTGTGCGTCTTACAATTTCTGATTGCACTCGCAGCTGTCCTTTCCAAAGACATGGTTTCCTACTGTCTAAAGTGAAAGTGCGCAACATGTTCTCAAGAAAATGTCTCCCTGAATAGTTTCCCAAAAGAAAAAACTGTCTGCAAGGCCATTCTGCAAGCTGCTAACAGCAATTCGGGGAGCCTGTCCTTTGTTTTGTCCATATTTGTTCAAGTCTTCCATTGGAGCCAAAAAACTGCATCATATTATATGATATTGTCATAGAAACCTGGCAGGATAAGACCAAATGGCACAGCGCTCTAAGTATTTCAATGTGCCATAGGTCTGCACCAGCCGACCTGGCGGACATCGAAGTTGTCAGCCTGAGGGTACCTGAGGAATATAGTGGTGAACAATGCAAAGCACATGGCAATACTGGACTGCAACGTCCCAACCTTGCAAAACTCTCTGCCAACAAGTACTGCACCCATTTCCACTCTTGAGCCTTCAGCAGTGCACACATCAGAGATGGAATTGAAATGTTGATGTATACAATGCCCCAGCTCTGAAACATGCTCTGCCTGGTTCTGTAAGGGAACTCTCTCCTCTCTAGTCTTCACGTCTGTGTTCCATTCTTCTTTGGCTCCTTCCGGTCTCATTCTTCAACAAACTTCTTCCATCATCTTCCTTTTCTTTCCTATTCACTATATTTCACTATCGCTATCCCTCTTTCTCTTTCTGCGCATCTCCAGGGTATGCCCTGCCTCAGCGGCAAGCGCAATGAGGAAAACATATGTCGTGAGGTACGGCTGGACGCCCAATGCTTCCATCTCGACCTTCCACTTCACGGCAAATGCCTCGATGAATGCATTGATGCTTTTTCTGAATTTAAATTAAACATACGTAGATTATGCCTATGTAGATTGAACAACTGTTTTCTGAGTAGTCCGGCGAAATCTCCTCTTTGCATGCATGCCCGAATCCTTGGATCTTGCTCAAAGATGAGGCAAACTGTGCCAGGACGTCTCAAACATCAAGCAACACTTTGACGAAATTTGATCACTGAGATAGCGACACAGAAGTCAGTGTAATGTGATTTGGCCTTAAATCCAACAATAAGTGTCCGCCACCATGTCCCTATCTTCTTGGCTACTGCTTTGCTTGGGAATCGTGAAACTGCTCTGGGTAGTCTGCTCTTCGCCGCTGTCGAGCATCATACTGAGCAGCCTCACATCTGATAATTGAATAATAATGAATAATATAATTGAGATTGCTTTGGTGTTTCTCGGGTGGTCGAGTTCATCGGAGTCGTGCAGTTGGATAGCATCCCTCCACATCGCGGCTAAGCTGGCAGCTCAAGTGCTACTGGCCAGTGACCACCATGGACGTATGCACACATCAAGGCCTGCACCAACCCGTTGACTCGGTTGACCCGTTCCAATTTGTGCTTTGAAGTGACCCGGTTGGAAATACCCAGCGTCTGTCCGAGGGCAGTACCGTTTTGGTCACAATTTCAGGTTGCAAGCCCACCTGGCTCAAGTGAACATTGCTGGTTTCATGCATCGCATCATTTTGTAGCATTCCAGGCATTCCATTGAATTGATATGGCTTCGTTTTTTCTTGAACATGTTGGTGTCTTGCTGAACTGCTGAAAACCAAGCCGGCTTGTCTTGCAGCATTTGCGAGGCAAGGGATATGGCATGCTCCCACTGAGTAGCCTGTGCACCTCAGTCTCACAATTTTCCCACTACAAAGAATCTGCACAGAATAGCTTCTAGCAAGAGGATCTTCTGGAAGTCGAGACACTGCTGAAACTCAAGCCAACCAATGAGCCGCAAACAGGCTGTCATGGCCGAGCTCCAATGAAACTCAAGAGAGCCTCAGCAGCCAGCAGCAGAAACATTCGGCTCAATAGCTCTGAATCAAAGTGGCAACTTTCGCACCCCAGAGTGAATTGAAAGGACGGCACCGACAGCATTTGCAGCAGCCAGCAATGTAAGTGCATGTTCCCATCCTTAGGCAACAGAGTTCCTTTGGTGTGGCCTTGTAGTGACCATCTTACTGTGGCGTTTAACAATGCTTCGAGTTTGCAGTTTTCCTTGAGCATGTGACTGCTGCCATTTGCGCAAGCCGAGATTGCATGAGTGTAAAGAACTCCATCTGGCCTCAGCCAGGGCACAGCAGCGGTTACACTGTCAGCCAAAGACACACGGCTTCCTCCTCGTCCACCCCTGTTCCCCTGCTCTTCTTGAGCTGGTTACTGAAGTTTTTGGATACACCTGGGCACACTGTGAGCACACTTGGCACACTGCATTTTCCAAAGAAACAACCGTCTGCAAAGCAAAGCTGAGAGAATGACGCTTGGTTCAGAAGCCCAAGGACTCTTTGCCAAGCTCCAACCTGGTTTGAGTCCAACAGGTGCAGTGGTACATGGCATTTCTTGTAGATTGCACCCACATAGAGTTAGTATGAGTTAGTTATATAATGTTACATATGCCCAGGGGATTTTGTTGTCTCATGTAAGCCAATCCTAGGTAAAGCGCATCATTGCAATGCAGCAAATGTTGATTCCACTGTATAACTCTGACGTCTGTAACGCTGCTTCAAATCAATCAGTCAGCACTTCACAAGAGTCCGAATGATCAAAAAGCTTGTTTCCGGAATCATACTGTGAAATTGCATAGATAGATGTCGCTCAGAAGCTAGCAGCAGTGTGCAAACACATGATACACCAGAAGAGCCGTTGCTGTTCCAGACTTTGAAATCTGCTCTGTATTCCTGAGACCACATTGACGGAAAAAGAAACACAAAGCCCTGGCCTGCTTTGCTGCCGCCATGGTATGGCTGTAGGTGATGATGTCAGGCGTTAGCTCTAGGTACTTTATATCCTTAATGTGTAGCCAAAGATTGTGGCACGTTTAATTCTCAGGGGAAAAAAATATATGAAGTCTCGGGGAGGCTGAGGAAGCCACGTCAAGTAGTTGCTCAACGATTTTAGTGTTCCGTTTCCTCAGAATCGGTCGGGGGTTCGCTTGGGAGCCCCGGAAAGTGGATCGCTTCGAGCACCGGAAAGTGGATTGCTTGGAACGCCAAAAAGTGACACGCACAGACACATAAGAGATACATAGCGCTATAGCTACATATAGACACAGAGACATAGACACATCAATGGACACGTTCATACGTGCCTACACGCTGAAGCACTGAAGCACGCACGTAGTGACATTGATAGATGCACGCAGGTACACATTCCAGGCGATCCGCCTTCCGGCCCGAAATCAAGTATCCGAACCCGTGTCCCAGTCCCGTGTCCCCAAGTGAAGCCCTGAAGGTCTGATTCTCTGGTTCTGATCCACCATGCTTGTCCCCTAAACCCACCCCATGTCCCAGTCCCAGCCATCTGTCCCCGAAACCCACCCCATGTCCCAGCCCGGTGTCCCCGCTTGTCCCAGCCCCCTGTCCCCAAGTTAACCCTAAAGATGTGATTTTTTGGTTCCAATCCACCATGTTTGTCCCCTAAACCCACCCCATGTCCCAGCCCCGTGTCCCGACGTGTCCCCTAAACCCGCCCCATGTCCCACCCGTGTCCCCAAGTTAAACCCGCCTAAAGGTCTCATTCTCTGGTGCTCTAAGATCTCTAAGTGATCCACTCTTGTTGCTCGAAGTGATCCCATGGTGCTCTAAGTGATCTGGTGCTCTAAGTGATCCGCTTTCCGGTGCTCCAAGTGATCCCCTAACCCTCAGAATCGGGAGTGGAATCCGTGTTGGCCCGATTGCTGGTGGGAACTGAGGTGATATCTGCAACTGACCCCACTGATGTGCTTTTTCACCTGGGCAAAGCATCTGACATCAGAATGACAACACCGTGGAAATGTGAGCAAGTCATCGCTTTCTTCATCTTATGTTTGAAGCAGTGTGGAAGTTTGGAAAGCAATGAGAATCTGAACTATGCTGAGGGGAGGGCACACTGCCATGATACCATTCATGATTCCAATGTCAATCTCGACTCCAGTGGTTTTCATCTCTTGCAAATACCACCTTACATTGCAAAGCTGCCCGGTGCCCCGGCTGCTAGGCTGAGGCTTGGCAATTAGTCCTTTCTCTGCTGACCCCGCCGACGGCAAGGGGGAGCGCGTCAGAGAAGACATTACAATCAGCCAGGGGCAAGAAAGGAGCAAACTGCAAGAGCCAGAGAGAGGCAAGCAGACAAAGAAGAAAGCAAGGAGCAAGAGCAAGCGAGCAAGGCGGAAGCAAAAGAGACAAGGAAGACCAAAGCAAGCCGACGGACAGCAAGCCAGCTAGTTTCAAGAGCAAGAGACAAGGAAGAAAACACCAGGTGCAAGAGCAAAGCCAGTTTCAGCAAGTTTCAAGAGGAAGAGACAAGGAAGAGAGCTCACCCATGGAATCCCCTGGGTTTTCACATCAAAACCGCCGGAGCTGGATGTTGATTCCCGACGGTATCATAGCTTTCATCCATCCTCAGCCTCTGGGGTCGGCAGGGAGCGTAGCCCCTTTATTTCTTGCAAACTCACTCACAGAGGCAGCGACAGGGACCATTCCCACAGGTACTGGTCCTTGTGACACCTCAGGTGCAAAAGCAATGAGCACCGGCTATGACCAAGTACGCTTGAGAGTTGCAGACTCCTCACTGTCCGTCCCTGTCCTCACTGAGGCAGTTTCAAGCTCTTTACTGGTGAAATGATTACAGCAGTGCATTCCCCAAAGTGATTTCAAGGCCATGACGCACTCAAGGCTGCTGTGTAGGAAACCTTATTCTGCCTGGTGCAAGTCAACAGAAATCAACAAGGATTCGCAGATACAAAGGCAAGAGGATGGAAGAGAGGTAATCAAAATGTCGAAATATTCGAAATACAGTCATCTTGACCTGCTCTGTAATTCGTGAAGTTGGCCTGATTCCTTGTTCCTTCAAACTGGTGAAGAGATCTGTGCTTTTTTCCTCGGCAAACAACAAAGATTGCGAACTGTCTTTGGCGGGTCTGATTCATGGTTCCTTCACGTTACTTTATGTTCACATGTTCATTCTGTATTCAAAAGAAAAATGGAGTTCCACTTAGCATACTGGGCTGCTCACTGGAGATCCTTTCGCACACGCTCCCATCACAGAAGCCGAGATCATCTGCCCGAAGCTGGAAACGTACCAGTCAATGCAAACAACAGTAACGCAAGCGATGTTTGTCCCGATCCCCAATATTCAGACGCAGAGCAAGCCCCCCAGCAGCCACAAGAACGTTAGAGCATTGTAAGACTCCAATGTAAGACCCATCCAGTATTGCCTGTGCTGGCCAAAAATCTAGCGCTTCCAAACCCCAAGCACGCCTCGTTCGGCTGTATCTTCTTATTTTGCATCTCGTCCAAGAGATGCAAAACCAGCCGCCACTTGGCCTTTCACGGTCCCGAAGTTGTGAGCTTTTCACTCTACATATTCGTAAGTTTATACACAACACGAGCATGCTTCTGCTGTGTAGATCCGAAAATCGAAAAAATCGCGTACTGAGACAAAATTCAAAGAGTAGCGAGCCTCGCAGGCATGCATGGTGGCTCCATAGGTCATGACATCAGGACCTGAAGGCAACTGCCTCGGTAAAAAGCAATTGTATGCAATTCTGTCCTGTGGTTATTGCTGTTCTCTGGTGGGAATTCAGAAATCTGTTTTTACGATTTTCTATGCAGAAAGTCTCAATTCGTGGTGCATTCCTGTAAGTTGTAGACTGTCCTTCATCTAGGAGCTGGATGGCCTGGACAAACGGATGCCCGAATAATGCCCAAATGATGACCTAAGGGAATCCTTTTGAATGTTGAACTCATTGAACTCCATTTACTCATACTGAACTTACTGAACTTACAACTTCCTCAACCAAGCTCACCTCCATCCACCTGCTGCTCTGAGCACATGCGGCAATGGCAGAGTTCATGGTGACCTAAGAAAGCTCATGCTCGAAGGTCTGAGGTACCATGCTTCCAAAGCCACCCAAAGATGAGGATAACACCACGTCAGGGATGGTCTGGCATCTCTTCATGGAGTCAATCACTGAAAGAGCCTGAAGCCCGCACTTGACATCACTTGACATCACTTGACATCACTTGACAGCGAGAACGGATTGTGACACCCGAATCGTGGCGCTCCAGGTGCACCTTCTCCCACGAACCTCCAGTTGCAAGTGCTCCAATAACCATGTTGCCTTGGAGATGAAATGACAATGACCGCAATGACCGCACCGCATTGGCTAGTTTTCTGCAGGCCTGTATGTGTGGCTGTGGAGAGCCGAGGCATGTGGAGGCCCAACTCCAATTGAGTCCCCTGCAAGCATACACATCTGGAAACAGCCTCCGTTGCCGCATGGTCCTGAGCAGGTCCCATGCAGGCCTCGGGTGTCGTTCAAAGGGTTGAGTTTTTGACAAGAGTCTGTCATTGGATTGCACTCTCCATTTCATGTTCATCATCTTTATTACATATTCATTCCAGTTTCTCCAGTGTCCATACTGTCATAATGGAGGTCTGAAATGGTTTGAAGCTCTCTAAGAGCCTGGCAGTCCTTCCTGGCAACAAGGTGAAAACATGCCAGCAAAAATTGTAGATGACCCCCTTGCCTTGCTGCTGGCGCAAATACTGATGATCTTGTTGAAGACAAACTGATCTGGCTCTAGACCTTGGACTCATGGAGAACGATGGACTTTAAGAAAGACTCAAAGAATGACCAATAGTTTCGTCACAGAGGTTCCAGATTTAAATTGCCAAGCTGGGCCCAGTTTGGCCAAGCTGGGAAGTTTTTGGTTTCCCACGTCTGAAGGACATGCTCTTCATCCTGAAGCAAACTGAAACCATTGGAATGCAACATCGCTTTGACATGCTTTCCCCATGTTTGTCGTCATAGGCTGCCACAAACCCACTGCTTCTTGCCAAAGTTTTCGCTGGCCTGCAGTTCTTCAACAATTTGTGAGCTTGAGTGACTCCAGTACATCAACACATGTTGAGCTCCAAGATGCCAAATTGAGTCATTCTAAGATGCCGACCCAATACTTTGAGAGCAACCATGCACTCCCTGACAACCACCAATCCGACAAAATATGTCAGTCTCATACCAGCTACGCTGTGCCAACTTTGCGAGACCAAAAATGTCAGAGTGCTACTTTTTGTTTATCCCGCCTGACATTCAACGCTGAGTCTGCCAACCTTTGATACGTCGCGCGACTGGCATGAGATCCCACTGTGTCATGTGAACCTTCGCTGAACTCACTGACCTTGTCTGCCTTGTCTCTTGGACTTTGGACCTCTCTGAACGCCTCTGAACCTCTCTGAATACACAGGCCCCGGCAGTCTTTGAATCTCTCCGTTCAGCTCATCTCTCCGCATTCTCCGGGCCTTCACATTATATAGGCGTTTGAACAAAATGACTCAGTGACGCCTGAAATGAATTGAACCAAAGTCTCGCTCGCGAGCAGCACCAATGTTTCTGAGCCAATATCATCGACAATGAGAATCAATGGCAATCAGTGGCAATCAGTGGCAATCTCTCCAAGTCACACCGCACCTCGCCATTAAGTAGTCTTGATATGCCACGACGATGTCCTCTGTCATGGTGCTGACTCTGAACAACCTGGCAAGACTGCGCCGGATATCTACGTCACTGATGCCAGCTGATGTCAGCATCTGTTTTTGCCACTTTGTGGGCGATTCCCCAGACCACCTACAAAGACGGCATGGATGTGTCATGGTTTGGAGCAGCCAAGGGCCACAGGCCACAGGCACGCATGCAGCGCTGGTTTTCCTAAAAAGAACAGAAACTGTTACTAACTGTTACTGTAAACAATGCCTATAATTATCTATAATTACTATAATTACATATAATTATCTATAATTACATATAATTATCTATAATTACTATAATTATATACTATAATTGGAGTATCGTATGTCTTTTATTGTCTTTTCAAGACATGAAGGCTTACTGAGCTTGCCGAGCTCCAGGCCGGAGCAGGAGCAATCTGTGCAGTGCTCGGGGACCTTCGCGTTTGAGAAGATTCATGGACTTGAGAGGAGGAACAAAGGCGCAAAGAAGGTGAAAACTCTCAAACTTTCTCAAACTAAATATATATATATATATAAATGAATAAATGAATAAAAAAAACTGTCAGCCATTGTCAGTTTGTAATCTTTTTGATCCGCTTGGTTGACTAGACATTGTCTCGGAGGCTCGTACGTGCAGACCATGGCCGCTGTGGCAGCCACTGCAGCCGCCGAGACACGCTTGGCGGTCGCTGCCTCCAATGTGTCAAACTGGGACAGAGCCACCGAGAACCACCATCATTCATCATGAAGCATACATTATCATTAAATATCATTAATCATCATTGATTCATCTTAGTGCTTGTAGCAAGTTTTGGCATCTGGCACCGCATTACTCAAGTTGGGGTAACAGAATTTCAAACATTCAAAACGGGTGAATTTGGAAAGCTGCACTTCTTGAGTTGACATATCACAGCACTCACACCATGCCTGATCACACTTCTTCGGACGGACTCCATCTTGGCTCATAGACTATGGGCGCAGGCTGTGATGTGACTCATCTTACTCGCAGGTAGCTGGGTGATTCTCTCTGAATCAGAAAAACATCTCCTTACCACTTGGAGGCATCTACCCTGTAATATTCCACTACTATTCCTGTAATATATGATGCGTGCAGAAAGTTTTACTGTAAACAATGCTTGAGATAACATTCATTGACTTTGCAAAGATTCAAGAATAAAGCGATCTTGTTGAAATGCGCCTGCGATTCGTACACCTGGGCTTTCTATCTCAAGTTGCTACCGCTACTGTTTGGCTGTTGTGTTGAGGCGAAACACTGAGTCCACAAAACAGGAGTTTCAGTGCCGCCATATCCACTTCCAAGTGACCAATACCTACTAACCGAATCTAAAATTCCTACTCATCTGGAACCAATACTAGCTGTCACAATTTTTGGAACAGAATTCAGAACCACAATCCGAAAGGAGTCTGCATTTTATGTGAATCTTATCACTGCGTTCAGGTTCACAGCGATTGAAGCGAAGCACTGCTACGTACTATCTACAGGTTTTGCCAAGTGGGAGAGGCCGAATAGGTCGACCTCCAATCCTCCGGCAACATCTTTGTACAAATTTTAAATTTTCAACGACTAATCTGACTAATCCTCCTCACCGTTGCGAATCCTCTCCAGTTTGTCAATGATTCCTTGCGATGCAGTCAAGTCAACATGTCGCATTTCTGCTAAAGGAGCCCAGCAACCTCGAGTTTGAAAGTGGACAATCTAGTGCTCCCAAAAGTTTCGATAAAGCTTTGTTAGTTGGCTCCTTTGGCAATTCGGTCTACTTCTAGCCAACACAGTAAAGGTACTATGATTCCACCCGCTTGGGTAGCATTCAGCTAGCCTCATTGAACAGGACACCACAAAGCATCCAAGTTGTCTTTCCAGCATACATCAGTTTTTCCGGCAGAGTGCTCTTGACTTCACAAAATGTTCTTCGCACAGCTCTAGGAACAAATCCAATAGAAATTCCGATCCATCACGTCTTCGATAGCGACGAAGAGTACGCTGCTTCAAGCTTCACCTTGTTACACCTTGTTACTCTGTTCAAACTGCCGGCATATTGAGGCTGTGTTAAGTAAAGCCAAGTATCCTTTCTCCAGGTATTGATCAATCTTCTTGACTGATTCCTGAAAGACGCCATCAGCAAAACAGAAGAGTGAAGCAACTAGTTACACGACCACTGACAACCACCCTGCCTTTCCAATGCCTTGCAAATGAGCAATAGACTTTCCAGAAGTCACCTGAGGTTACAGTGTCTTGAGGCCAAGGAAATTCGCAGGGACAGTCGGGACAGTCAAAAAATGGACGGCACACAAAGGCGAAGCCAGGCCTTTTCCTCCAAACCTTGGAGAACTGCTACAACCTTTTGCGGTCGAGAGGGATATGGCCGATGCTCCGATGTGATGATTGAACGATATCGAACGGCGCCCACCATGGCCCGCCTTGTTAAAGGCAATGCCAGCAAATTTGCTTGCACCGCCTTTCCTGCGATGAAAACATTTGGCTGACAAGCATGGCATGTCAACGCACTCAAAGATACTGCAGCGGAATCATGTTTGGCAAGTGCAAATTGCAAAGCTGCACTATTGATTTCTGCAGAGTCAAATGTCGAGGACATTTCATAAGCGCCACGCTTAAACTCATGCGCAGCCAGCTCTTTGAATTGGGCAGCTAGCTCCTGTTACAGAAAATGGTGAACTTGCAGCAGCTACAAGATGCTACAAGCATTTGTGAAACTTTGTGACCGTGAAATATCATGAAATCATTCCACGAGCTCCTGGTTAGGTGATTCCGCCACCTCAGCCTTTTCTGCCTTCTTGCTGCGTTTCGCCTAGGTTTCTTTATGTTCAACTGGCACCCAGCTGCAAGCTACAATCTTTATGTTCAAGCAGAACTTGCCTTCTCAGCTTTCCCTGCTGCTTTTTCTGTTTGTTTGCGCTTCTCCTGAAAGAATCTCCAATGCACGAGGGATCCACAAAAAATGAACCAATCAGCAGCTAACCGACATAGCCGCATTCAATGACTCGAGCATTCCTTACTCGAAGTAGTTGACCTGCAGCTGACCATATAGAAGCAGACCAAAGGGACCCCGCATTTTTATCTTTAGCATTCTCCCCTCGATATGCCCTTCTATATTCTTTCTATGTTCCCTTCTCATATCTCCCAAGAAACATCAAGAAACTCTCATGACATCTCATTACACTCTCATTCTGACCATTCTGACCATTCTGACCATTCTGATCAGTCTGATCAGCCTGGTCATTCATTCTCAGGTCTAGGCGAAGGCAAAGGCGGGGCCGACGGAGCCGAAGGAGACGCAGCAGGCGGAGCTGCGGATGGAGCCGACGGAGGCGACGGAGGCGACGGAGGCCGTGGTGCAGGCCTCAGATCCACAGGAGAGCCAGTCGGTCAATCAGCTCCAGAATAACATTCAACAGGATCCAGGTGCAAAGAGATCCAAAGACTGTCTAGACTGTGCTAAACCACTACATTATACTAGTGACTAGTGTTAAGCTTATTTTAGATTATATTAGATTGCTTGAGAGACCTGCCGAGGGTCACGTCTGAGCTTTGTGCGCCGAACGCCCCATGGCGATTGCCTGAAAAAAAGTTTCAGCAAGTCCCAGCACTATTACCAGTGTTTCACACTGTTTCGAGCCTTCCATTTGTTGACCAACTCGGCACAGGCATTCCTCACCTTGTGTCAGGTCAAAGTATCGGTATAAGCTGCAATTCCAAGTCTGGAAAGCATCTTTGCACCTTCACATCAGCATGGTTTCGAAAGAAAGGATCGTTGACTTCCTGCACCACTTCAAGACACTCCAAACGCGCAACAAGAGCGATAAAGTGAATTGAAGTGAAATGCTTTGATGCCCTCGTAGCGAGTCCTTCCCCACACCAGTTGATCGAAGATCTTTTGTGTCAAGCTGTTGTCGGGACAACTTCTTGAAAATGGGCAGAATCGTAGCAGCACCCTGCCAGGGCATCAACAAAAATGCGTCCGCAGTCCGGTAAATCAAATTTGCGTTTCAAGCTAGCTACACCTTACGCCTGCACTGTCTGTTTGCCTTCTATTTTCGTCTTATCTTATGTCTGATTTGTCCGGAAGAAAGAACGTGAAAGAAGGGTGTGGAATTTGTCCGGATCCAAAAGCATCCAACGGGATCTGCAAGAGCCTTGTTGGCAGGATTATCTCGGCAGGCTCTCAGCCTTGTGCTGTCGCTGGTCGATGCTGAGAGGGTTAGAGAATGTTAAATAATTCTACAGTCCCGAGCAGCTGAGTCTCAGGCTCCTTGCAGCATTCTTGAACTTCCTGAATTCATGGATTATGTAAGACAAGAGCATTTGACGCAAACTCCTTCAAGTAAATGGACTGATAATGGATGACTCCTCCAAGTCCTTCATTCTGCCATTGCAATTTGCATAGAAGGTATCATACCATGCATTTCTGAACTGGGATCTGGATGCAATACTTTAGTCAACCTGCAATGTGTGAAAAGACCTGGAAGACTACCTGCTGTCAGCAGTAGAAACATATACATCTAGAAACATGGTTCTCAGCCTGGCACCAGGTCTAAAAGGGTCTCTGCCAGTTTCAAGACATGCCGACCACAGCGGTTTTGCTTAGCCATGTTTGTCTGCCGACTTGACTGTGTGCCCGAATGAGCCAAAAGTTCGCAGGAACCCATACGTTTAGATACGATTGGATATCACTTGATACGTACCATCTGAAGCCGCTGTAACAACATTTGAGTTGTTTTTGACTCTTGTTTGGAGCTTGCCCCGTACCGTGCCGAAGCTGGCAGCTCCACCGGCTGTCCATACCGCTTCCTCTTGCATGATTTTGTTGCTGATCACAGGGTATGGTGGTTGAAACCTGAAAATAGCTTTCCAGACATTTTACTTCTAATTCTAGGCTACTCTCCAATGGAATCAGAAAAGTGTCAAAATGACAAGTTGAAGTGTAGCGGCCATATTCGTCTAGCCCGTCTACTCTCCCTGCTATGGAGGCAATGGCAATGAATCTCCTTGTCTATGATACTCTTTTTCATTCTGCTGTGTGTGGAGCTTGCTTACAAGCATGTGGAACGCGCGGAAGGTTGGTGAAAGTGAAACTGCCGAAACTGTCCATTCTGCTGGAAGTCGATCGTCTCAAGGACACACTAATTGGTTTATAACTTATTAAATTAATGAGGTTTAAACAATAAGAAACTACCCATTTGGTTGTGGTTTATACCACCTATTTATGGTGATTTGAGATGGTTTATTCTTGTTTTAACCACATTATTATCAGAAGCTGCGAAGTTTTCGAAGCTTTGCCGGCTTTGCCCTTGTGACGGGCTCCGATGGCTGCAGCTCAGGTCATGCGACCCAGCAAACGATTAGTGAGTCGCGATCATATATTCGCGCGCAGCCGCTTCACGTTTCCCCGAGCTAGGCGGAGGGGCCTCCGTTGCAAGCAAGTAGACTCAAGCAAACAAAGTGAAACTTCCAACCAAACAAATTGCACAAGGAATGCAATTATACACTGGTCAGGGTATTGCGACAGCAGCAAAGTAAACACCCAACTAAAACTGGAAGCTCACTTGCAAAAATGTTTCAATTCGAAGGTTCAACCCAGCCTGTATACGAATATCACTTTTTCTGACCTGGCCACACCCGCCAAACCACTCATTTGCACATCTCGAAACACGTGTCGAAAGAACCTATCCTGGCCCCCTGGCGGCCCTGGCCTGACTTGGAGCAGCACAAGTGTAGCAAACGAAGCACGAGCGACTCGCCTGAGAAGTACTGTGGTACTGTCGGCTGCGGTTCGGTGTACGGAACTTTGCCGCTTCGGTTCTCACTTGTTTGCATGAAAAAGAACTCTCTGAACTCTCTTGTTTCTGTGGCATTCCACTGAGTTGGCAACTTTGGGTATTTGTTGCATTGATATGGCTTCGAGTGCCCTGCCTCACGGGCAAGCCCGAATATTCTTCATTTTGGTTGGCAATTCCACAATAGTATGAGCAGCTTAAGCAGTTCGGTCATAACTGGGTTCCTCACTGCGAGGATCCACACGCTCCGCGCTCAAGCCAGAAGGATGATACTCGAACTCTTTCCCATCATTGTGGGCCTCGCGCTTTAAAGCGGGATGCAAGGAGAACATTTTTCAAGGAGTGGAATACTTTGTTATGTGCTGTGAATAAATTACTTTATCGATATATTGCTATTTGATGCTTTATGATTCTTCCGTGTTTGAGATGCTATGTCACTATGCAAACCACGGGGGACATCCATTTTATCCGGCCATCGCTCCCATTTTGAGCTTTGGGATTTGCGGCAGAGACTCAGAGAGGATACTTTCGTCAAAGTTGTTCTTCATAAAGCATGTCGAAAACTATTTTCAAAAAAACTTACAGTAAAGCATGTCCGGCTGCCATCAGTCCTGCGCACAACAATTTCCCATCGATCCTACGTGACCCTTGAGTACTGGCTGCGGAAAGTGTGTGCAAATATTCAAGCCACGAAAGCTTCACAAGCATCCCAAACAAAGTTAAAGGGCTTACAGTTTATAGCTCTAGTGGAGAGAGGCATTTAACTGAAAGTACTGCACATGATAGGATGTGATGAGAAAGTGAAAGGGGATCTTTGCAGGCCACGCTTTTGCCGAAGAGTTCTATCTCGAGGAGCCATCCGGAAAACTGCCTGGCAAAGGTTTCATTCTTGTGCCTTCCCAAAGTCACTGAATTGTCTCAAAGTCTCCCCTTCTCTACCTCTCATTACTTCTCCACATCTGTCCTCCCCCTTAGACTTCTATTTCTCTCTTCCACTTCTCTCCTTCTTCTCCTTCTTCTACTTCTCCTTCACATTTCTTTTCTGGTGAGCTTTAAGTGTCCCACCTGGTATTGCAAATCTTGCATGAACTGTGAACACATGCGCTGATGTCCGCCTCAATTTCTGGCATGAGTATCCCACGTTTGCTTAAATTCATTCCAAAGCCATCTTGAGTTTGTTAAAGTGGATTCTTCATCAACGTGGATTGCAAGAAATGACAACTCTTTTTGCGACGAGCACGAACTGGACAATTCCCTTGCAAGAAACAAACAATTCACAACGTTGCAGCCAGTTCACACGGTAGATAGAACGAATTCGAACCATAGTGAAGCAAAGTGGGCAAGCTGCGTAATTGCAGCATGCTTAGATCAATGAATTGATCAATGGAATGGTTTTTGTTCAGCTTAAGCTTTCGTGGGGTCTGCAACATTGCTAAGACAAATGTACAATTAAAGGCTTGTGGATCAGCTAGATCGACACAAACAGCAAAGATGTTTCTGGAGAATGTTTTTCAAGGTCTACCATCACACCAAGTAATTGCAGTCTGCCCAAACTGCTCAGGTACTGCCGCACTGAACCTTCAGTGCCATGCAATTTGCCACACAGTTTGTCGACCTTTGTGCAAGGAGTTGAAGCTGTACCAACTCCATTGGTTTGCTGCTAGGCAGACAAGACAGAACTCAGTGTTTTGGCAGCAGATTCAAACTTTGCAGTCACACTTGCACCATATTCAATTTCAAGAATCCCAAATTCTTTCACTCTCAGAAAGTCGCTGGCATCAAATGGACCGTCAACTTCTGGAGCGCTTGGACTTTCGGCTCCTGTCTCTGGCAATGCCTTTTCGAAGCTTCTTGTCCGAATCCTTTCCCTCTTCGGTCCTTGTTTTGGAAGCCTTTGCTCTCTTTGCTTTGGCTTTTCTCCGGCCTTCTCTGCCTTCTCTGCCTTCTCGACCGTCTCTACCATCGCGTTTCTCGCTTCTGCGTTTTGGTTCATCCAAGTCACCAACCCAGGTAACCGTCCCGATTCCCTTCACAGAATTCTCACGGAAAACCAGAGCGCAACCGGGCTCCACAATCTCTGGCCAATGGGCCCAACGAAAGAGAACTTCAGCGGAATCACCAGCTCGAAGCAGGTCGACAGGCTTGCCATCGGTATCAGTCATGGAAATGACACGTGCTGTTTGCCGAATCATTCCAACATGCAACACAGGTTCATAGTTCTTTCTAATTGAACTTGGGTGCTGCAAGACTGTGACACTGGCCTTCATCCACCTTGTCGGAGTCAAAATGGATTTTGTGCCCACCAACAGTCTTGACCTGCTGAGTGCTCGAAGGGTCAAAGCATCTTTCGCCTTGCCACTTGCTCTCAGTGCGAAGGTTCCACTTGAACCTGCTCGAAGCTGCTCAACGGGATGATCTTGAACCCGGATGGATGAGATACGCAAATTCACAAAGCCATCTTTGATCAATTCACCGGCAGCATCAACCATTGGTCCAATTCGGACAGCATCTCCTGGCCTGGCAGTACCGTGCAAGATTCTACCGGCAATAACCAAACCCACTCCAGGGACCTGTGGAAAGAATTCATCGATTTGGATTTGCAGAGCTGGCTGAGCTGTCTCAGCGGACTCATCGTTCTCTTTGAACAAGGGCCGTCTGGACAGGACATTGAGAAGTAGTTTGAGCTCTGGCACCATTGCCCCTGTAACAGCAGAACAAATAAAGATTGGACTGTATCCTTGAAGAATTCGCTCAGCAGCTAACACCGCATCATTTGCATCTTTCACAACAAGTGTCCGTGACCCGAGTTTTTTCATGAATTGCTTTACGTCAAGCAAAGCAGAATTTAGCTGATCCTCGGATGCCATATCGCATTTGGTCAAGCAAATGATCGTTGGGATTGCAAGCGCATGAGCAACGACAAGATGCTCGTGAACCATGCCGCGCATCTCTCCACGGTTAGCATCAACTGTGCAAAGCAAATAGTCTGGATTCAAGCCAACCATGCCCTGCAAGGTGGTTTTGAAATACCTGCGGAACGTTGCGGCTCCAAAAGAAACTTACTTTGGACTGACTAAAGTCGGACCCAGCCAAACATTCAAGTCTATTCACTTGCAATCAACCAATTGGCAAAACGATCGATTTTGAAAAAGAAAACAGTCTGCCCGACTCGCCTCTCATGTCCACAAAGGTCAAAAAATGTGATGAGTTTTGATGCCTTCTCCGCAATTCGAGCTTGTGCCTCAATCCGTCCCACATTGTGATGAGGTTCTTCACTTCGAAAAAGACCAGTGTCGTCCACCTGGGCATTCACAACCCGATGCAACAAAAATGCAAAAAAAGTGTGTGTGTGTGTGTTCCATTTAAATATATATATATATACGTATGTATATATATATTGAAGTATCAAGAATCCTACAGTCCTACAGTCAGAGTATGCTTAAGGATGCTTTGAAACTTTGTCGATCCCACCTGGTAGTTAACCACCTGCCCTGTTTGATCAAATCCCAGGGTTGTTGTGGCAATGCAAGATGTTCGACCTGTCTCCATCTCGTGACGATGTCGAAAAACTGCTGAGCGCGCACGCCCTCGTCCATCATCCTGCAAACCCTGTGTGAGCAGTCCCAACAGTGTGGACTTTCCAGAATCGACATTGCCAACGGTACATATTCGAACCTCATCTCCTCCGGACACAAACAGTGAAGCCTGGCAAGCACGTACCAATGCAGTGATGGCAGTTCTGTTGCCAGGATGGATGCCAGCTTTGCGGCTGATGACTGTGACGGTAGCAGGTATTCGTGCTGCCATGGCTTTCAGCACTGACAAAGACTCAGCTAACTCTGCATCACTCAAACCGGGCACCATGCCATCATCAGAAACACCAAGTCTATAGATGGCGTCCCGATATTGCGAGAGATCATCGAATTCGGCGCATTCCTCGCTAGAAGTGCACTCACGCATTCTCCAGTTCAATTGTGTGACAAGCTCCTCGAAACGTTCGCTGCCTTCTTGGGCTGTCAACCTGAGTTTGTACTCAACCTTGCCAAGACTGGGCTCCGGTGGAAAGGAAAATGGAGGCGCCCCTGTTGGCAAACTGACCTCTGAGACCTGATGCATCTGATGAGCAGGAACCCTTGACGAGCTTGTGCGTGTGGGAACCATGGAAAACATTGCTGGTACACCAGAGACCAGGCAGGTGACAAGATGGCGCGTGGGCACCATCAAAATAATACCAATGAGACAAGTGAAGCAAACATTACGACTGCCATGCCTCTGCTTCAAATCCATCCTTTTGATGGTCTGCAAAGGCAAGTGTAGCAACATCAGATAATACGCTTGATGTGCAAACAGCAACAGTACAAATGATAGATGCTAGCTTGCTTGGGACACACAAGCTTAAGGAATGAGCTCGATCTGATGCAACGTTTGGCTTTCAAAACTCTTGTTCCATACATGAAGCGCGAATCGCAATGCCCCACTAAGCTGCGCGCAAGAACACCGCCCAAGAAAGCATCCAGATCTCTCAAATGGCAGAAGTCCAAGATCAAGATCAGCCTTGCGATTCTAGCTGCGTCTTAGCTGCATCTAGAAGAAGGAGGAAGCGTCTCTGTCTTCGAACAACACCTGTTCTGTTGTTGATCCTTCTGTCAATAAGTCTTGCAAATGCGTTTAATTCGTTTACTTGTCTGGATAATCACAAGCTTCAAGCACACCTTGGGAAATGCGGTCGTCACAACCCATGGCAAGCTGTCTGGAAGCAACGCTGGAGGCATCGTCAACACATGCTCTCCAAAGTTTTGAACCTGGCATGGATCCACTAGCAAAGAGATTGAAAGAGTGTAGCATAGATGGAAATACGATCTCAGAAGTTGAGATTGTATGACATTGCTACATAAGGTATTCACAAGAATCGATTCAAAAATCTGTGAGGTCGCTGGCCTTGGTTCTTCTTTTGTCTCGCTTTCGGCTCAAATTCGATGTTACAGCCAAGGTCTCCTGTGTTTGAGGAATGCGAGCAAATGTAGCAAAGCAGGCACAATGCTGCAAGATGATCAAAATGTTGTCACCAGTGCCACGGTCCTGAAGAGCTGAAGTTGAGACCTGATAGTTAGTCGGGCACCAAAGTTCTCCCAGTGCCACCAACGAATCTAAATTCTTCGGAGAACCAAATGACTTTGACAAAACCTGCCTGGGAAAGCAGCGCTTTATGCTTCACAAGCCTCTTCATGACGATCAGCGCACCTGACACTAACAACAGCATTGAAGAGCTTTTAGAGATTTGCAAAGTAATTGCTATGGATCTGTGTGGGATTCTTCCTAATGTGTAGGCACACCTGCGCGACCAACCAGCTGCAGAGGGTTCGGATATCTCTTTGGTCGCCTGAATTTTCAAACTGCAACAGCTCTGAAAAACTTGCTGACACTTCTCAACTCTGCCACCTTGAACATTGAGGAAGTTTGAACACGAAGTGCGCAGTGCGCAGAGATCCAAAAAGATCCAAAAAGATCCAGCTTGATGCAGCTGATTCGTGTTGGATTCGTTGGATTCGTGGGACGATTCAGCCAGTGACTTGGGCGTCCGCTTCCTCGCTGATGCAGCTGATGCAGCCTGCAAGGTTTCGCTGGCAGCATCGCATCATAGGACTTGCGATGTGGGGAAAAACTGCACAAATTTGCTCCACAGTCATAGGCCAGTTCTCTTCGAAAGGCGCCAATCGCCTTCAGAAAATGAGTAGTCAATCGGAGCCTCGTTGCATTTCTTGACGAAAGCAAAGCAAGCAAACAAGTGATTGACCAGCAATAAGATGCAATAAGATGCAATGAGATGCAACAAGTACATTGTGGGAATTGTGACCTGCTCAATCTGAGAATACGGCAAATCCTCAGCTCGCTGCAGGTAAGTCTTCCTCCAGGCACTTGGTGGGAAACATTGAGAAACCACAATAATTTGGCGGGAACAAGTGAACAATCACAAACATAACAACTCCTCAAATTTTGAAGAAGTAAATCTGTGTTCCCTTGTGCGTCTGTACATGTATAAAGTTTCACCTATCCAAAGGCGTAACACTCCAAACAGCAGTAGGGACAGATACTTTAGATACTGATTGGTCCTTCGAAGCTCTTTCAACAAGTCCTGACGCAAATTCATCGTCTGCAGGAAGACTTGAGGATGGTCATCTCACTTGCAGTAGATTCCTCTTGATATAGGTAGTCATGCAAACCAACTTCAGTTGGGTCAATCACATGTCAAAATGGCCAAAGAACGCAATTTGGACCCCATCTGGAGAACCAATGGACAAAATCGAGACACTTTGATGATTTTGATTTTGTCAAAGAGTCAAAAGTGGATCTGTGTCCGTCAAATGTCTGAGGGACAAACTCGGAGGAGTGGGATCCAAATTGATGCTGTCGGTCCAATTGCTGCCTTCAGAAGCATCAGCGTCCATTTTACTGCCAACATGTAGAGACTTCATTTGATCTGCACATGCACAACCTATTACGGCACAAGAGTGGTTTCAAAACTCACATTGTTCTTTGAAAACAAGGCATACACCGCCTGCAGGGCGGCAATTATTGAACGCCTCACACGCATTTTGTTCGCACTAGGGAAAAAAGATCTAGTCTTTACGTTTGCTCTCCTTAACCAATGACCTTTGGTTCGAGAGTCAACCAGCACACATAAAGCGCAAATGAAGCGTTCTACAAATTGCAAATGTCCCACCAAGTGCATGGATTCTACCCGATGCCTGAGCCTCAAAGCATCCAACAGTTCCACCTTTCAATGTCTGAACAAAGTCTGCAACCCAAAGGAGGTCCATAGTCTTTATCAATGTGCACGGTGGGCATAAATGATATTAAAGTACGGACATGTTCAGACAAGAAACAATTATATATACATATATATATATTGTTTTTGTTGCTGTGGGTTTTGGTTTCATCCCACCTTTGCCGACAAATTGTCGCAGCATTGTTTGGCAGCAGAAGACGAGGGAACCTGAGGGAAAACAATAACAAATCGAACTGTTGTGGGTAAATATATATATATTATGTATATATTATGTATATATTATGTATATATTATGTATATATTATGTATATATTATGTATATATTATGTATATATTATGTATATATTATGTATATATTATGTATATATTATGTATATATTATGTATATAAATACACATATATTCATAATATAAGTAGCAGAAAGAAAACATAAGAAACCATCAATTCTTGTTGTCCTCCTCTCCAAATGCATCCAATAGAATGCGATCTTATGAGTCATGTAACGCACGTGATTTCATAAAAAGAATCACGCTACCATTATTGTTGTTTTTGCCAGTGTGAACAAAGGTGCGTCACCTTAAGAGGTCTAGAGTCTTAGATGCGGCTCAGTTTAACAAAGAAATGCCTTGATGCCATCTCCGCAAGAGGCGCCGAAAGAAGACACAAACCAGTGTTTGACGTTTGAACCTAACATATTTGTGATACCAGTAGTACCGCACAAGGCAGTGGCGGAAGTTTCAAAGGTAGAAAACCTATAGGAAAGGTTGGTTGTTGTGAATCACGGACGGCAGAGCAAACCCACTGATGGATCGAAAGGTGGTTGGAGTGTCGGGCTGTATATCTATCCATCTGACTATCTATCTGTCTATCTGTTTATCTGTCTATCTGTCATTCTATCTATCTGTCCATCTCTCTCTCTCTCTCTGTCTATCTACCAATCCGCCTGTCTATCTATTTCTCTGTCCATCTAGCTTTCTGTCCTTCTATCTATCTATCTGTCTTTCTATCTATCCATCTGTCTTTCAATCTCTCTATCTGTCTATCCATCTATCTCTCTATCCGTCACTCTATCTATCTATCTCTCTTTCTATCTACCTGTCTATCTATCTCTCTATCTATTTGTCTATCTGCCTAGGAGATGTCTCTTGCACTGCACCTGCCACGCAAAGTGCATGTTTACAGATCCTCCTCAAACGTCCCACGCCTGCCATCGTCTTGGAAACTACTACAATGTTTGCTCACTTTACACCAGGTGCAGATTTCATCCTGCCACACAAAACGACGTGCGCACGTCCAAAAGTGGTCCGAAGATGTCTTTGTACCACTTTGCGCCACAACGGCGTGCACTTCAAAGAATGCTCCGAACCCGCTGTGCTTTTCACATTTTGACTTCGACATGTGCTTCGCGCCACAGCGCCATTCATTTTTGGAACATTTCAACGTCCCAAAAGTGCTCCCGGCATGAGGTATTTTTAGAATTTTGACTGCGAAATCTGCTTCGCGCCACAACGGCGTGCAATTTTTCATCTCTCATCTGACCAGTTGGCTCCGCACCCGCCGCTTTAGCGAGCCTACTTTTCGAGCGTCCGGAGCCCCAAAACATTGGAAAAACACTGTGTTTCGCGACTTTCCTACCTTTTCCCACACCTTGATCTTGTTTCTTCTGACGCTTTCTCTTCTCTGATCTTCTTTCTTCTTCTTCTTCTTCTTCTTCTTCTTTTTCTTCTTCTTCTTCTTCTTCTTCTTTTTCTTCTTCTTCTTCTTCTTCTTCTTCTTCCTCTTCCTCTTCCTCTTCCTCTTCCTCTTCCTCTTCCTCCTCTTCCTCTTCTTCCTCTTCTTCCTCTTCTTCTTCTTCTTCTTCTTCTTCTCTTTTCTTCTCTTCTCCTCTCCTCTCCTCTCGTCTCCTCTCTTCTCCTCTCGTCTCGTCTCGTCTCTTCTCTTCTCGTCTCGTCTCGTCTCGTCTCTTCTCATCTCGTCTCGTCTCTTCTCTTCTCTTCTCTGACTTTTCTCTGACTTTTCTCTGACTCTTCCCACCTCTGCTTTTCGATCTGTCCGGAGGTTTGACTTCTAAAATTCCTTCGATATTCGACGAGGAGTACGGTGTGAATGGAAAACGGAAGGAAGCCTCCGAGGAGTACCCTTTCAGTGTTTGAGCCTGCCGATGTATATAATTGGCTTAGGGGTAGGCACATATACACGTATCGTACATGTATACATATGGATAGTTTGTGCTCAAACATATACACCATATACGCATAATGATTATTTGTCAAACACCTCTTTAAAACATACTCATATACATACGCACCATGCCATATGCAATAGCATCACTTACATACGTACATGCACCCATATCATGTGCGTAGACCTGGAAAAGAATCCACGTAGACAATGTTGGTGTCAGACAGAGTCTGTCGATACACAAATGGCAAAGCGGAATGCAATTGCATCTATGTCGACCTATACACGTACAAATGCACGATTTCACATGCCTGCGCAGAACTATTATGCAGTTATGCAAGATGAGTGCAAATAGTGACTCAGAAAGTAGCAATCTAAGTTGCATATATATTTGGAAGTCCGAGGATCGAACTGGAGACGATGCGTACCACTGAGCCAAGGAGACAGCAGTGCCTTCCATTGTAGCTCTTCACAGCTGCGAATTGGTCTGACATGAAATCAAACAAACCCTGCGCCAAAACAAAGGTCCAGCCTAGGTCCAGTGCAGGCTGGGACGCAAGTTTGACCTCGAAACACAAACAGTGTGGCATTCAAGAAACAGGCCAGCAGGTCTATTTGGGCTCAAGCCCGAAGAGTTCGTCCAGCGACTACAGCAGATTCTTCCTTCACAAGTTTCATTTGCATTCGCAGCACTTCACATACACTCACTCCGCACTCATCTCTGATGACACTTGGCCTCTGCTACTCCAATGGCATCAGGGGACAGCGAACGAAGCGCCTCTGCGACTTTGTCAAACAGAAGACAGTACTGCCAAAGATTATCCAAGTTGCATATGACCTGAGAGGCAGGCCTCAACTACAACCGCAAAATCCGCAAGCTGTCGCAACTGCACGTTGTCGAAGTCCTCACCTGTCTCAAGTGCCAATGGCAAGAAGCAATCATCCGGAGTTTTGTTTTGCTTTGGTCCTTTCGTTTTGAAACCAAAAAAACTAGCCAGAAAGAAAGGGTCCTGATCCGGTTGCGGACAGACTTTGTGAAACCAGCAACGGCGGAACTATTATATATATATATATATACATATATACAGTATATATATATATACTAGTACATATAAGTGCTTGTGGTTGAAACAGTTCCGCAGATTGCCTGTTTTTCTTTCGTCTGTCGCTTGTTGTTCTGGTTGGGGCTACTGCTGCTGCCCTGCGTTGGTCTGAATGTTTATCGATTTCTTTCCTTCTCCCTCTCCTTCTCCTTCTCCTTCTGCTTCTCCTCCTTCTCCTTCTCCTTCTCCATCTTCTCCTCCTCCTCCTTCTCCTCCTACTCCTCCTCCTTCTTCTTCTTCTTCTGCCTCTGCTTCTCCTTCTCCTTCCCCTGCTTCTTCTCCTTCTGCTTCTGCTTCTGCTTCTGCTTCTTCTTCTCCTTCTCCTTCTGCTTCTCCTTCTCCTTCTCCTTCTTCTCCTCCTCCTCTTTCTCTCATGACGTTTGACTCCTTTGCCCTCTCCTCGCTCTCGTGAGGTCCGACTTGTTCTTGGTCTGCCTTTCTTGTCTGGCTCTGGTCTTCTTATTCCTCGGGTTTTTTCCATTCTCTAGTTTGCTTTCATATGCTGTGTTGTTAGCTTTCCGCGTCACCATCACACACGCTTAGATCATGTTAGATCTATATGGCCGAAGACATTGCACAAGGAACAGCCTGATGAACGCACAGTGATTCCATAGAGGCGCTGCCGCAAGGCTTTGGCCTAAAGAAAAACAAATCGAATTGACTGTTGAAAAGTCCACGTACATCAGCTTACATGTGTCAACAATGACTTCGAAAAATGGACTCTCCTCCAAGCCAAAGACTAATCTTGGACAGTTTTGATCGAAATGACCAACATGACCATGTCCAGAACCTTCAGTCCGACTCACGCTGTGGCAAGTTGTGGCAAGGAGTTGAAAGACTTTTGATATTTCTGCATTCTCGCCTGGAAGATGCAGATGGTCCTGAATACTACTGGAAACACAAAGTCGCTGAAGTCACTGAAGTAGCCCGTTTCATTCCTCAATTCCCTCGTGTGTGCCCAATGTGCCACGCCTGGGCCCAGGTCAATGCACTGCAACGATGCAGCTCCAAAAGCTCTGCAGTTGTGTAAGACCTCGGCCAGGTGGACAACCTAAACTTTGCGAATTATGGAATGAAAAAAAATACCCTGGCAAGAGACCCCAAACAATGTGTGGTTAGGATTCTAAAGGGAGAAGTGGAAAGGACCTAAAATCAAAAATGGCTGCAAGCTAGCAGGACAAGAGCGACCCTTAGTAGTGAAAAGAAGAGATACCAGGTAAGGTTCTGCAAGCTCTCTTTGCGAAGATCTCTCCTCTGTAGAAGCTGCTGTGCAAGATCCCTGTGTAAGGCTATCTGTACAAGGTGTCTATACGAGATCTCCACTGCAGATCTTTGTAAGGGATCTCAAAATAAGATCTCTGTTCAAGCTATCTATAAATGATCTCCGAGCAAGACCTGTGCTCTCTTCACCAGGTCTCTGCACAAGATCTCCACAAGAGGTCTCCTGGCAAGATCTCTGTACAAGATCTCTATAAGAGCTCTGTTGGCAAGATCTTTGTAAGACTTTGTAAGAGACCTCTTGGCAAGATCTCTGTACAGATCTCTCTTGGCAAGACCTCTGGACAAGATCTATGTAAAAGATCTCTTGGTAAGATATCTTTATGCGATCTCTGTACTAGCTCTCTATAAAAGCTTTTTTGGCGGGATTTATTTATGTAAGAGATCTCGAAGCAAGATGTCTGCAACAGATCTCTATGCAATGTCTCTGTACAAGATCTCTTTATGTAGAAGCTCTCTAGAAGACGTCTCTTGGCAAGATTTATGTAAGAGACCTCTTGGCAAGATCTCTGGGATCTCCGAACAAGATCTCCATCAGAGGTTGCTTGGCAAGATCTCTGTGCAAGCTCCTTATAAGAGGTCTCTTGGCAGTCGAAAGGCGCAAGGACATGTCACAAGAGCCATTTTATACGGGAAAATGCAGGACACTAATACCGCGACACCCGTTTTGCGCGAGCCGGCACGGTCGAAATGCACATGGACATCTCACAAGAGCCATTTTATGCAGAAATTTATAGGGAAATGCCGTACGCTTGGACCGGGGACATCGTTTCGTGCGAGCCCGCGCAGTCGAAATGCACATGGACATGTCAGAAGAGCCATTTTATGCAGAAATTTTCAGGGAATTGGCCGGACACGGATGATACTACCTCGATTGAACACCGGGCCTTAACCCTGACCACAAGAACGCCTTCAGTGTGGCCACACTGCTTGGGGAAAAAACATTGATTTTAAAGGTCATGAAAGGACCAGTATTTGACAACAGACAAGGGCAGAGAATGGTTCAAGAGGATGCACAAGGCTAGAAACACAAACTCCCATCTATTTTGTTCTGCTCAAGCCGTGCGCCCCGAAGCGCGTGGGCAGGCTTACTGATCTCTTGCATCGTGTCAGGACAAACAATATTCTAAATGTCGCAGTACGCACTCAATGGTGTAGGAAACATGCAGGAATATGTAGCAGCATTTCCTTTTCCTATGAGGGGAGCGCTTCACACGCAACGCACACGCAGCAAACCAATATTGTGAAAGTGACGTGACATTGTTGTTAAGGTCAAAGCGCTTGGAGAATATCACGTGAATGTCTCACAAGTACAACTGCTTAAGGTCAAAGACACTTAACATTTTTGCCAATGCAGACAACGGGATGGGGGCAAGAACAAGGTAGTCGATGCAAAACGAACACAGAGACCCTCTGCCCATCACCCCGCAAAGGGGATCAGGGCGATGAGAGTGGGGAAGAAAAATTGCAAACTTGAGCCGACATGTTTTGGCTACAAGTCTGCTCCACAAAACACTGCCATGCTTCAAACTGCAGAAAGGCATAGTAAGACCCTCCCCAACCAACTTACAAGACTGGAGTAAAACCCACTGGTGCCATTGTCCTCAATTGCGTATAGCTTCCAATCGGTTTTGCATGCTGCCAGTACTTGAAAGTGCCAGAGATAAAATTTCTGTTCCTGCAGCAGACTACCCGGTGAAAATGATGCTGTAGCAAAGGATGGTCAGGCCGACATGGCCTTGCCCAACCGTGCCAATGGTTTTCTTTCTACAAGTAGGAGTGTGGATGCAGGTTTGTGGTGACTTTCTTGTAGCATCTCTCCCTTTGAAACTCCGGATGGGAAAAATGAGTGAATACATTGTGAATACATCCTAATAATCCTAATATTGAGAATGGATCTCAAGCATCTGTCTTTAAGACCATCCATTCTACGTTTCTCCTGCTTTGACAATACAATGGCGCACCAACTGTACAAATGTTGTGATTCAATCATAGCTTCGAAGTGCATAGTTTTTCTCGCCGGTGCAGCGATAAATGCTTCAAGACTCTCTGCAGATTTATGAAATCCGCTTTGGCCGGCCCCAGCCGTCTAGACAGTTCGTTTCCATGTTTTCTATCTGCTGTCAGCACAATGCCCAAATATATATATATATATGTGTGTGTGTGTTGTCCGGCAAGTGGATGTCAGGATTGCAATAAACACCGACATGTTGAACAAAAAAGGTCACTGTTGGGCAATACAAGACGGACATGATCGGAAAAAATTGCAAAAGCAGAGGAAGGAAACGGTGAGCAAGTTTGTCTCTCAAACTGTACAAAAAAAAGCGGAGTCATTTAACCACACAGCCTGTACCTCTCTGTCTGTGCCAACTCTGCGAAGCCTTCAGGACAGAAAATGTCTGAGTGCTTGACTCTGTGACCTGCTTGTCTAGTTGATCAAAGAGCAAGTGCGCCGGACAAGGCCAGTCATCCTAAATGGATGAAAGGAAGCCCCAACATCAAAATCACCAAAAGTGAAATATGCGAGATCTGCTACTCTTAGATCAAAATACTGGGCAGTCCTTTGCAAACAGGTTCGAACAGATTGAAAGTAGCGGCAAGAGCACCGTTCGGTCCGTTGGCTTTTTGCCTGCAATTCAACCCCGACAGCGCGCTGGTGATCAAGTACTTGAAGCAACAGAAAATGGACCAGCAAACTCTGCCCATGCCTAGGTGGTATGATATAATGTGATCATGAGCACAAATAATACTCCAGTATCTTACTGGTACTCCATGTGTGCTGTGCCCTGGAGAAAACGTGAAGTCAATAATTCAAGCAGTTGCTTTGATGATTCATATGGTTCAGTCAAGGCTTTGCACTCAAACCTGGGACTTCATGCGCATGTCTGGCAGCTGCCAGCAACCTGGGTCAAACTGTTCCGCTCCGCTTTGCATGCATTGCTCACGCTCAGTTGCTGGCTTTGCTCATCTTTGTTCATTTTGCTCTACCAAGCTCTGCTTGCTGAATCGATCCAGCCTTGCTCAAAGTCTTGCGACTGAGGCACACGGGCCGCAAATCATCATAATCTACACATGAAAGTGCCTTGGCTCCGGGCGCAAGGGAGAAAAGTTTGAGACGAATGAGGTCCAGGTATTTCGGCTTAGGTATTTTTAGGCCAACTGCGCCAGGTCACTCCCAAGCAGCGCAATGCTACCTTCAGCTTCCTTGCAGGAGGTCTTCTCCCAGCCTGAAACTGGCTCAGGACATGATGCACACGACGGCACACAACGTACCACCGAGACATCTAGAACAAAGATTGCCTCATCAAAAGATCGCCCTCGCACAAATTTGAAAATGTCGAATACACCAAGACGCCCATGAGACCACCCAAGGGTCCAACATCCAGTGGTGTAGCAGTGCAAACTTGGGTGACTTTCAAGAGCTCGTCTGAGCCTGCCAACTGGTCGAAAAAAAAGACTCTTGCTTGCTGTTCCGAATCCAAGAGTCCAAAAGAGCATGTGCAGGCTTGCTATGGCTTGCTGTTTGCCTCCAGGTTTGTCAGTCAAAGCAAGCTGCGGCACGGCCTCACACTGCTGCCATGTGGCTGTTCAGTGGCTGTTCAGCAAATTTAGATTCCACCACTCAAAGTCCCCAGCATGCATTTCAGCACCTCAAGGAATGATGTGGGCATGCAAGAAGACCCAGCCAACTTGACAAGATGCACTGAGACAGTTGGACCCAAGTTGTCTAAGCTATATACTCAAGCGCAGTGCAGAACGAATTCGACGGCCAAGGCGAAAATGCAATTCCTTCCGTCAACCAAAAATGTTTTGCACAACCAAGTACAGGACAGAACAAGTATATAGCTGAGTTGAAAATTTTCTGCAATGTTCTTCTGCAGTGCTCCCCCATGCTTATATACACATACATATATATATATATATGTATACATATTTTTCATTTCAACATATGATGTTTGAACATGTCTGAACGACTAGGGTTTGGATTAGAATACTTTCTGTCTGGCATGAGGCAGGGCTCCCGGTGAAAAGCACCAAGACTGCTTGCGGTTTTTGCAACCTGGCAGCATCTTTCACATTCTAATGCTGACGCACAAATGGTTCAACAAACACCAGCAATGTACTGATGTTGCCCCTGGTCTTCTTTCATAAACCCAATCGTCCATGATGTTGGTGGTTCAATTGCAAAGCATCAAACCCCGCTACAGGGGACTCCGTGGACAAATATTTACAGGCAGTAGCTTCAACAAATGCTTCATATCTGCACGTTGGCATACATGTCATTCAGAGGTGGGGTGCCTCATGCGGTTTCTTGAAGTCAGAACTCAGAACCAAAGCAGGCTATACCCTCCCACAATTTTGACCACAAGAAAACGCACAAGAAAGTTGGAACGGTTTCGGCCGTGAATAGTTGGAGGTAACTTTCCAGAGTTGCAGCGTCAAACTACCAAGCGTTTTTTCTTCTCTCCCGCTGGCACACCCAATGCTTGTGCCAGGCCGGTGTCGAGGAGTCGATCTATCCAGCAACGTCAAAATTATTTCCACTCTAAATGCGGAGAGAGGTTTGCTACTTGTTTGCGCTTCCAAGTGCTTCTAAGGGGGGATGTGTGGGGAATCTCTAGGGAGTTCTGAGGGTGTCTGTCGCAATTCTCTAGGGAGTCCCTGGGCAGTCTTGGCAGGTCCCTGGGAGGTCCCTCGTCTTGGGGCGAAAAGCACCATTTGAAGCAGCACCAAAAAAAGCACGAGAAACTTCAAGAGGTCGAGCCTCTAGTCGACTGCAGGAACTCTGCAGGCAGTCAACTGCACACAGTCGACTGGAGGAACTCTGCAGCTAAAGCTTGCCGGTGACCACTCCATGAAATTTCTAGTCAAATAGTTTGGCGCGAAGGTACAGATCAGAAAAAAATGCGTTTGAAGTTGGGTGGGGCCTCAACTGACTTGGGTCTTGCTCCTGGGGTCCTTGTGGTGGAAAACCGTTTAGAGGGTCTAAACATGTCTAAACTATATATGTGTATTTTTAGAAAGTCATTCCAAGTGGGCGGAGTCAGAAAGTCTGGTAGCATTGCGTGCACAAAAACGGGAAAACCGGGCTTTCGAACGAATCAAAGGCAGCAAGACTTTGGCAGTCAATGATCGATGCAATGTGGCATGTGTCCGACGGGGCGTGCCTCAAAGAGTTGGACTTCGTTGGGGCTGGTTCTACGATCTTCAGCTCGGACAGCCTGGCACTGTTTGGCTCGGTAGCGGCTCGGCTGACAACAAGTTCAACCAATTCAATCATGCGGTTCGCACACGAAGCCAAAGTGCGGTGAGACGCGGATGGACTGTGCCCAACCTGTCCACTAGTTCACTCCGTTCACTCCGTTCACTCCGTTCACTCCACAAGCAAGAGCCCAGGCAGCCCTTGACTTTACAAAGTGAGTACAAATTACTGTAACGTAATTTAAGTGGCTACTGCAGAGGCTGGAAGGCAGAAAGTATTCAAAAATGTACATGCAGGAAAGACAAGGAGTTCACTGTCCATGATCATTTCAAAGCACAAAAAAAAAAACCAGGCCTAGCAAGGCTGAAAGCAAGACGTCCAAGCAAGGAATTGGAGTCCCTTGGGTCAAAGCGTGCCGATGCTCGTGAAGCAAAGACAAGGGCAAAACGAGCACCAAGCGAGGACAAGAACATGCAGCAAGTCACGTTCTTGGACCCTGGCCATGTCCGCGGAAATCTTTGTCCACGACCTCCGACAAAGTCTCTTGGCAATAGAATGGCAAAAGTAGCCCCGTCTGAAAAGCGGCAGCTTCAATCCGCAATCAAACCTTGCTCCCACTCTGAACCCACTGGCCTTCTGGGCTCAGCACATCCCTGAGCACTGCAGCAAAAAGAGGCTCTGCACAAACCTAGCCGAGGTGTGGTCCTTTGCCAAATCTTTCAAGCCACGAAGAGGAAGAGACAGGAGCATTATGGAACAGTTAAATTATGTCAAACTGTGTCAAATGCTAAATCCAGCCCGGCCTCCAATACGGAGAATGCCTCGCAGATTTGCACGAGGTCCTCCTGGCATCAATCTTTCTAATCAACTCCGAACGGAACTTGACATCGATGCTGTTACAGATGCAACATGCCTCTCTCAAGGCCACAGGCTTCTGTTCAGGCTCGAAGTCTGGACTCGGAGATTTCGGAGATTCAAAATGTGAGATTCAAAATGTGTGGTCAGGCATGGTCGGGCTATAGAATCTTTCAGAAATCTGTCAGAAATCTATAAGCCATCAAGAATCTTCTGAGGAATCGACATCTGAAAGAGGTTCACAGTCGCGTTCCTGCCATCGCAGTTCAAGAGTCATGTCTAGAGAGTCCAGCTGCGAGCCACAAAACCAGAGCCAGCCAGACTTTGCCGCGGGAGTTCTAACGTTGACCTTGTCAAATAACATGGTCAAGAGTTTTCTATGTTGAATATGCTGAATATGTTGAATATGTCGAATGGTCGGGTTGACATGATTCAGAGATTTTTCTAAAGCGAAGGGACTCTTCCAGCAAACAAACTTTGACTCATGCCTCGGGCATGGCTTCAACCACGAAGCGGACAGCAAACTGCAATGCCGCCTCGTCAGGCCACCTTCGGAGCTACGATCGTTGCAAATGCCAAGATATGACAAGCACAGAATTCCACAGCCGTGTGGCAGCTATGTGGCAGCCGTGCCACACCTCAGTTTGGCCAAGCCCGAACACAGCCTAGAGACTTGACTCGGCCTCAAGAGATGGTGGCGGAACGCGCTTCTCTCCTCTCTCTGGCTCTCTCCAGGGATTCTCCAGTCTCTCCAAAGCACAAGTCTTGTGGATTCAAATCATACCATGCGTTCAGTTGACCGGTCAATCTTGGAGGATTTCTCTCACGACTCAACACTCCACGGTGGCGTCGTGCCTTTCTGGATACCTTTAGAAGCCCAATCAGATGAACTCAGGCCATTGCAGGATCTCTGCCATGTCTTGTTCCTTCCGCGCACGATCAGCTTCAACTTGCACAGATAATGTCATAGTGTTACGTTGTCTCATTCAAGTCCAGCTTTGAGAAACTGCGACTGCCAGTGCAACTGCTGGTCCTCGCAAACTTTCGCAAGAGCAGTGGAGCATCTCCGCAAAAACTTCACATCCCGCACTGAAAGAGTACCAAATGCCTCCAGCGCAGAAGCCAACTCCTCAAGAGAGCAGTTTCGCACCTGGTCAAATGGAAGGCAAAGTTAAGCTTAGTAAAGACAAAAGGCCATAAACATGGAAACGCGGCGACTCAGACATCTCAGGAGAAAAGTTCGTGAAACACCAGGATTGTAAGCAAAGGGCCTCCTGGTCAAAGCGATGTGAAGCCTGGAGACAAGGGCAAGGGCACAAGAAAGGGACGATGATGCTTTATAAACAAGATCCACACTGAGGTTTTCACATGGCGTACTGGCTCATGCAGCTATCCAAATCTGCCCTAAGCTCTTGGCCAATCGGAGCAATCGTGTTGGTGGCGAAGGTTTCACGTTGTGCCTTTGATCCGTGGTGTCCATGTCGAGAACGAATGCATCACAAGTGGCTGCTTTGCTCAAAGGATGCCAGACTTGTCAACAGTTCTGTCAATAGGGCACTCTCCAGCATCTCTCATGGCAAAAGAGCGTATTGCACGCGCAAGCTCACCAATTGATAGTACTTTGCCATGTACCTGGCAAGTGCAGTGGCAAAAAATGACCAATTTCATCCAATTTCTGCCTTGTCGCCAGTGTAAAAGGGAACTGAAAGGAAACAAAACAGGCCAAAAGCACAACAAACAGCTTCTCCAGTTTTTCCCACAATATCTTGTTCTTGATGTGTGCTTGTGCCCCACCTTCTGCCTCGGCAGCTGTGTCACTGCACAACGCATTTTGGTGGGAACAAGCTTCGTTTAAGGGCAGCACAAGCTTTAGGAGATCCGCAGGTCGCAATCTGTCGCTGAGAAAGAGAAAAGGTCTTTACATGTCTCTTGACCATTTTATGGTCTTGCAGTTTATGAAACAAGTCTATGCGAAGCGGCAAATGCTCGCCTCTCAATGCTTCCAAAGGGATACAGTGTTTGTATTCCTCTCCGTTTTTCTGCCTTGACAGAGTGGAATGCAAAGTCTCTTCTGAAATCACTTCAATCAGCTGTATCAGGACTCTCACACTACGAAGTTACAGCATATCAGCATATCGCATCAGCCAACCTGGCTCAAAGGCTTATCAGTACCTCAGGGGGTCAAAAACATGTGCATTCCCTTGAGGATCAAATCACAGTGCATCTTCAAACGTCCAATAGGTTTTTGCTGCGGTGCCGACCCACTGGGATGCTGAGGAAGCAGCGGAAAATGTGAAATCGAAGTGATGTTTCTTGCGAGCGCTTCACAGCTGTCGCTGCAAAAACCACCTTCATGTTCAGACAGATTCAGAGAGCGTGAAACATACCACAACCTGGAACCTGGATAGATATGGTTTCAGCATGTTTCAGCAACACATCATCAAAGCAGCATCAAGCAGCGTTCGGTGATTGTTCTAAAGTACTTCTCTCTGCCAAGACTTGAGTCCTTGCGAAAGAGAAAGCTTCGAGGCGCAGTCAAGGTACTTTCGTACAGTAATGTACAGTAGATCACAAATGATCACAATATCACGGTATATCACGGTCCACTTCAAGCCGACAAATTGCTGTCTATTTGGCCGACACTAAGATCCTGATGAGTGAGATCCCGCAACCAGAGCGACCAGACCGACCAGAGCGACCAGTGCCTCCTTGACCTTCTCGCGATAATGCAGTTTGGTGGCTCTGGTCTCCACTGCCTGATAGATTTCTGGTGATTCTGGTGATTTCCTTCGTGATTTCCACTTTTCGATACTTTTCTGACATCATTTTTGGGTTGTTGGAAAGTTCTCTGGAAGCCTGGCCTTGAGTTTCTTTGCTCGCCGTGGACCAGTTCTCGTGAGGCCTGTGGCTAGGTTTCATGTCTCGACCTCGCATTTGAAAAAAGCCTTACACGGTACACGACTTGGGCATCAGCCGGTCAAAGGTACCAATGCCTGCAGGTTCATCAGAATGATCAGGCTCAATCAAGGAATTGCTGTTCTGCTGATCAAATTGAGGCATTGCTGCTTTGCCTCTGCTGCATCTTGCCGAGAAGTGGTGAGATGTTGCCTCGCGATATCACTTTGAAAAGAAACAACATGTCCACTTGAGCACCTGGGGGATATCTGGGATATGTTTCTGCAGTTTCCAGAATTTTCAGCACAGTTTGTGGGTCTTATTTGTGGCTGTCAGCAATCCATGGCCTTGACGTGATCCAAACTTGTTTGAATCCACGTGCTCGGAAGTCGCCATTGGCAGCTACAAGCATGCAACCCTGTGGTGCTTCGAGTACTGATACTGAAAGGTCACAACAAGTTTATTTGCCAAAAAAAGTTTGAGAAGGTGTGTATATGTATAAGTTTATAAGTATATATAGAAATATAACAAGCATAGGGAACTGCCAGTGCTGTTGAGAATGCTCTTAACAGCTTTGGTGTCGAGAGCTCCCTGGTGAATTGGCGGAGCTGGAGGACACGCAACAGATTAACAAGTCCCAATCGAAAGCAGTCACTGTCGCGTCATTTTTGGTCCAAAAGATGTGATGTAAACTGCAAATTGCGGCACATCCACGGCAAACAAAAGCATAATTTTCACGAGGATTGAGGGTGAGACTCTCTTCGATTCAGCTGAGATGGCATCTCCATCACATTTGTTGCTGCGTCATCTGACATTCACATCATTCACTGGAGAAATTACAGTTTTGTTGTCTTGTGTGTATAATCAAGGTTTCATGGCCCAATGGCTGTCCTATGCTGTCCTAGCAAGTATCTGCTGTGTGCTTTGAGCATAGAAGCCCCATCAAGCTATTCCGGTTGGCACATGGCAATTCCTTGCATCGCCTCGCAGGGGCAGAATCCCAAATGCAACAGCAAAATTGTCATAACATTGACGTCACAAGGCACGCAAAATATATCAAAATGTGATGCAAAAAAACACTGGCGGGTCAAGACATATGGAACACTCTGGCACAGTACAAGCTGACAAGGCAAACAGCAAGGATTGCAAGCACACCTAGATGATCCTTGCAAAAACAATGGAAAAGCTCTTGGGACTTGCTTTGCAAGAAACTCACTCCTTAAACGCATCCAAAGCCCTGAGGATGCAGCGGCGTCAGGAATTATTTCGTCTGTGCCGCTCCTTCAGAACCTTTGAAACGAAGTGCAGGATCGTGCCATTCATGGAACTCTTTGAATGCTGCCGAGTACACAAACTTTGGACTACATGTAGGAACCCAGACCAGCATGCATGTGACGAACTCATCTCGCTCCATTGGCGAGGAGAAGACCAAATTCATCCGCCTTGATCACATGAATTCACATGATAGTGAAGGCAAAGCGAATGTTGCACAAAAACAGAAATATCAGCGAGTTGAGGGATGTGGTTCTCTGCATTCCTTCAAGGATCCATGCTGAATAAGGGGTTGGCCGATTGTCCATGACAATGACAGCTGCAAGGGCATCTGAAGGCAAAGACACCTGTGCTTTCAGCTTGGCCACTTTGTTAGTACACACTGCTGCAAAAATTGCTGTTAAGAGATAAAGCAGTCGGGAGAAAAAAGTCTTGAACAAGGATTCTGAGAATTCTGAGAGTCAAGCAGGCACGTGCGTAAAGTCTGTCAAATCATAGCCAAAGCCTGATTCCCCGTTCCCATGCGCTTTAAGCAGCTAACACTGCACATCCCTGGTCATCTATGGCTAGTCTTGACACATTTTGCACGGTTAAGGCGATGAGGCAATGGCTAATGTGCTGCATATGGCTGAAAGGGTACCTCCAAGGCGTCAGTATTGTACAACAGCATACACCACTGGCATGCTACCACATAACATCACATAACCAAGCTCACAAGCAGAACCACAAGGGCACTCAACGATGGCACCCTTGATGTGCATGGAGAAGGCTGTTAGCTGCTTGTCTAAAGTGCCTCAGAGGAAGCTGCGGCCCGCTGCTGTGCTACATGGATTTGCAAATAGTGTAAAAACATTTAGAAACACTTCTGCTGCTTGGCTTCGGGCATAAACGATAGAACAGGCGCCCATTGCGTCCTAACTTCATGAACACCTCCGGTCAGTCGCAAGTCTGAACTATTTCGGAAGCAACCGAAAGTAATTAGCAATTGGAAAGGCCACTCGACCCTGCCTTGCCCCTCGTAAGCTCACGTGCGAAGGCATTTACAATACTTTCCAGCTTCTCTTGCACAACCTTTCACAGCGCCCACTACTGTTGGCTGGTCACGTTGAGGTTCGTTTCACAGAGAGTTCACAGCGAGACTAGTAGAATGAGACAAGCAGAATTGTTGAGCCTCTTTTTCCCTTGCCCCTAGCTTGTCCCAGTCTTGGAGCATCGGCAACGGCCTGCAGGGCTGGCTACAAATGCTCTCGGGTAGCGCTGCCGAAGAACTTGGGGCACAACAATGACATGCTGAGATTCTGGAAATTGTCCCTTTAAATTTGACAAATTTGACAATGCTATAAGCTGCTATAAGTCAAACCCGGCAAGACACCAAGGTTGGCAGCAGCTTATGCTTGCTTTCTTGTTTCTGCATTGATTCCCTACACTCGGTGTATCTCAGTGTAATCCTGAGAACCATGCGTATTCACTCTGGGTTGTGAAGAGTCTGGTACCTGGAAGTTTCAGTCTTGAAAAAGTATGAGAAATATCCTTCTCACTCAAGAGGTGATGTGCTGTGCCAAACCGGAATTCAAAATTATATAAAAATAAAAAATAAAACTGTCTCGTCGTTACATCAAGTTGATGGTTCTTGACGCACATTTCGCACTGATTCATTCATTTGCATAGGGCACGATTGGAGCTGGTCCATTGGTTTCCACCCTGCAGGTTCAAGACTGGCATCAAAGTTCATGTATCGAAACCGTTTCTTCATGGTGACACGATGGTCAATATCAACCCGTCCTCATCCGTGAACTTTGCGCACAAGGACCCCCGCCATCGCAGCAAAACAGCGACATTACCTTCAGCTGTATGGATATAGATCGCAGTTTCAATCGGACATGACCGCACAATCGCACGTTCGAATTCAATCTATCAAGGGCCAGGCGGGTGAATGGCTCCTCAGGAGCCTGACGCAAGTTTTTCTGTTCAGAATCATCAATCTGCATCAAGTGCGCCGCAAGTCAAAAAAAAAAGTGCTGCTGGCGGCTTGCAGCCAGCAAAGTCAATAAAGTGAAGATGTGACTTTGTCAAAGTTCTAGGATTCTAAGCAAATCAGGACATGTTTGCCTTTTCTTAGCGGCTGCAACACGGAATTCCAGGCGCTTTGCAGCGCCTGGTTGCGGACATTTCAGCTTGAGCCACAAACCATCGGCAGGGTCAGCTGCAATGAGTGCCAATTGTCTCATCCTTCTGGCTATAACTTATAAGCAGTGGCTGAAAAGCAGTTCATTTCACAAATTCCAACTGCAATAATCAAAAAGATCTAAAAAGATTTAAACATATTTAAAAAGCCAGTATTGCCGCACGACTTTTTCAGGCTTGATCTCAACTTATCACACTGTTGACACCTATCCTTCACAGGATACATTTGCTTCGCCATCAAGGAGGTGTTCATCTACACCACACTCATCAACCTCAGGAGCTTGGAAGAGCTTGGAAGAGCTTGGAAGAGCCTGGAGTCTTTCGCTCTTTCGCTTCGTGTCCGATCGGTTTTTACCAAGCTCAGGCAAGCACCATCTCTGTGATTTTGAGTTCAACCATCAACAGGCCACTTTTGATTTCGTCTGTGACATCCTGCAACAGACTTAAAGCAACTTGCAAACTGAAATGGTGACAGTCTTTGAAAGTCTGAAAAGTGCAATTGCTTCAATTCTGAAAAGCATCTCCACTGAGTCCTCCTTCTGAAGCACTGTCGCTGTCTCATACTTTCGATTGCTACCAAACGCAATAGCCTCTCCACGAGCCACACATTATTGACATTTATTGACATTTATTGACATTTATTGACATTTATTGACATTTATTGACATTTATTGACATTTATTGACATATTTCAAATATTTCCACTATAGTCAGTCTCGTGGACCTTCTTTCTTGCAACATAGGATGCAACACCCTCATCGTCTCACCTCTCGACAGGGGTTCTTTCCCGGCAGGAAATCAGAAGCCTTGACTTTGCGGTTTACCTGGAGCTGAAGAAACCAAGAGAGTTCAAAGCGTTAGCATCTGTTGCCCCAGAGGTGGCTAAGCAGCTGCCTTCACAGACTCGATTCGTTCTGTTGTTCCATCTTGCTCATCAAAGTCTGTCTGGTTGATCCTCCGAAGAGACAACTCTCACATGGAAGCTGAAAACATCAAAAACTCATAAAAACTCATTATGATCAGATATGATTGATATGATCAGTAATTATCAGTGTAGGTTCAAGAAGATGACCATTTTTGCCCACAGCCTCACCGTCAGGAAGCACTTTCTTGAAGTCAGATTGTACACATCCACTGACAGCATCGTGGCTGCGCTGCAACCTGGGTCCTGACACAACTTAACTTAGTACAAGTATGTACAAGTATGTACAAGTATGTACGAGTGCTGTGAGATGCCAAGATTGAAGAAAAAATATTCAGATGTATTGCACATGTATATGCATGTATATGCCATATATGCAGCTAGTCCGAGACCTTGCATCTGAAGTGAGCCGAATCTTTCGTCTTGAACTCCTGCTTAGTCGACACCGTCACCTGGCCAACGACATCTTAGATCTTAGATTGAGAACAAGAGCCGATGCAATGACAAAATCACAGAACAGCCACTCCAACCAAAGAGATCCAAAGAGTCTAAACTCTGCTCGTGCAATGCTGTTGCCAAAAGTCCCGGTTCCATGCCTCAGACTCAGGTGTTGTCGTCGTGGTGGTGGTTGGCGGCAGGGTAGTGATTGGTCGGGCGAAACACGTCACGCTCACCAGCCCACTGGCAGCCAAAAGCAACTGGAACATTTTCAAGTCAAGGTTCATTGATCACGTCGTGGCTTACAATATACAGAACAAGCAATGTTAAGAATCTGCAGGGAGGTTCAACGGAATATATCACAAAACAATACAAAACAATACGAAACATCAAATCTCTTCGCGCCAAACAGCATGAAGATTCAGCCTCAAGTGGTTGCCATTCACGGCGCACTCATCTACAGCAGGCGAAATTTTGCCTTTGGTCGGGATGCAAGGCCGCTTGCAAGAGCTAGGGAGCTATTTCCACAAGACCTCCCATCTTGAGACCCGGGCCGGAGACATGTATCGTTCCATCTTCCCCCACGAGGCCCTGGGTGCAATGCACTGAGTCAAAGCAGCAGAATCAATTCATATCAATTCATATCAATTCATAAAGTAGCTTCGTGCAAGATGGCACCTCCAGCGGAAGATCACGAATGCACCTCAAAAAGTCCAAAAAAGAAGAGAGCTCCTTGACACTTAGAGACTTAAAGGCTTCACCGGCTTCACACCAAACATGTCTAGCAAAGCTGGTAAAGCTGGTAAAGCTGATAAAGGCAGGCACGGATAAAGGGGAAGTGTGGAATTGGAGGCGCCTCATTAAGTTCGCAGCAATTTCGGGACGGCCACTCCAACCGTTGCCGCAGTCCATACTGACTCGTGATACTTTGTGGCGTTAAGTCTACAGCCAGACCCATTGCCACTTTGGACCGACTGGTTGCTCTTGTTGGAGACCTTAAAAAGTGAAGAAATCGAATGCACATGCCCGGAAATGGCCCATTGCGTCATCCTGTCCAGTTCGCAGCTCTCCATTGTAGGACTGTGACTCTGTGAGCTTTGCGTACGCTTGAAGCCAGCAAGGATGGGTCAGTTTCATTTGGTGCTTCCAGGTCTGAGTCTAGGATGCCAGTGCGGTTCCCATTTGTCTCACAACCTGAGCAAGAAGTCAAAGTATGTCAAAGTGATCTGAAACCAATCACTGCAGCAGCAAAAATCGAAAGCCTTTGTCCTTCGCTACATTCATATCACATCGTGCCCTGGAAGGATCGTTTGCTACACTTCCCATGGGTAGCACCTTTGGGAGCCCGTGGACTGAAGTCCCGCAAAGCCTCCCAGTCTGTTCAAGTCGAATCAGTCCGTTATAGAGAAAGGAGTTGCATGGCAGCTACAACATTCTAGATTCTACATCGTTCTGTGTCACCTCCTTGCCATTGATGGTGATCCACTCAATTTTCTCGACATTGTACCTAAATTCGCAACCATTCCTTCAGTATCTTCAGTTCTGTCCCCCAAAGACTCTTCATTGACACACTCCCCACGTACCATGGGAATCCATGAAATCTGAGAGGCCAACTCATCGTCGAAATCAGTGGGGTGTACCATCACAGATAAGGTGCACCTGCAGTTCCGCCGAATCTGCGATCTGCATGTGTCGCCAAATATCTTTCTACTTTCAAATCTTTCAACTTAACCAGAATCACTGCAATCTTTGGATCATTTTGATTCGTTTTGCTCAGAGTCTTGCATCTTGTACTCCAAATCCCCCTCTTTGAAGGCCTGGCACATGCATAATGTCTAAGGATAAATTCCAGCCATAAATATTGCAATCCACAAACTGCAGCACCTGCAAGGAGGTATTTGCTACACAGCCGGGAGGTCCACAGCTCAATTCAGCAGTCCTGGCACCGAGTTGGCTGCCATTGGTAGTGGATTACCTGCAGAATATCTGCGAAATTCAGTCACTTCAGCATTTCCAGCGGTGCACCCTGCGGCTAGGCTACCCGTCCTGCTCACTTGACTCCACTCCAAATAGAATTTGGCTGAAGAGGGTGACGGTGCCCTTCGCAAATCCAACAGGATTTTTCCAAGCTTGAAGGCGAGAGTGATCTAGGAATACGTCATGGCCTTGGCCGCCCAAAGTAGTCCTGCTGGTTGACTGACTTCTCGAACCATGTAGCATCCTCCAGAGACGTTGTGCGGTTTCAAAGTAAAGCATCGTAGTTCATTCGGAGACAGGGAGGACACCGAGATACACGACACACCAAAGCTACAAACATGTCAGCCTTGCCTTTCCATGGCTCGCCTGCCAAAAAGCTCGTGCACTATCACAATGCAGATACTCCAAATGCTGAGAGAACTGTTCTGAGTTCCTCGCTGATCTGCTCTGCCTTAAGACAGGAACAAATCGCACATATGTGCAAATGTGCAGTCTGACTACCTCTGCCTCTGAATTGCACTGAGATGACATGTATTTGACTTATTTTGACTTGTGACTGGACTGAGATCTCTGCAATCTGGAATCGGCGGGAGCCCAACCTTGTCGGATCCTGCCAACGCTCAAAGATTTGAGGCCAGCGCAGCCATGCGTCTCTTTGCTCTCTGCATTTGTTTGATGGCAACGCTTCTTTTGTGACATGTCAGGCCAAGTCTTCTATGTCGCGAACCGAACCTACTGCATCATGCAGTTGGCAGTCGTGCTTGGTGGGGCACGTATTGCAGGAATGCCCACATGGCATCTCTTGCTGCTCTTCCAACTTGTCCTTGACTAAAGGAGCGAGATGATTCCAGGCTTCCTCTAGCTCGCTACCAGTTTTGGGAGATTCAGGGAAGTCGGGCTGGAGCTCCTTCGCCTTGGAGTCCCAATCTCCAAGTCCTCTTTTGGAAATCAAGTCGATCAAGCGAATCTGCCAATTCTCCAGCCCATCAGAAAACACGCCATGACAGGGCTCAGATTCTTCACTTCGCAGGTTGGCACCAGCATCAGCAAGTAGACTCCGGAGGTCCTTTGTATCAAGTTTCATCCAATTCTCCACTAACGCACCTTTCAAATAGAGCTGCGGAAGCTTGACGGAAAGACTTGAAAGGGTTTGCAAACCACCTGGCAATTCTGGTCCAGTCTCGCTGACGTTCACAGATTTCACTGCCTTGACACCAGCTTCCTTTAGTCTTGCAACTCCTGAAGCTGATGCCTCATCAAGTGGCTCGTGTATGCTTCCACACATGAATACAACGGGTTGATCACTTGTTACATAAGCTTTAACAAAAGCTGCCCATGTTGCTTCCTCAGTGGAAGAATCTGCTTGTTCAACTTGTTCTGCGTTTTCCAACAAGCTATCAACGAAGTCAATGGCAGCCGAATTCCCATCCTTCTGGGCCAAATCTCGAGCAAATGCCAACTTTCCATGGGCATTTGGATCTTTCAACTGCAATAGTGCCCAGCCATGGCCAAGAGCCACAGCAGCTTGTTTTGAAACATTTGAAACATCAGCACCTGCAGCAAGTTCTGCTGCTTCATAGTGTTTCAAGGATTCTCTTGTGCCACCCGGACCAGCCTGGGTCCAAAGTGCCTCGGCCATCAACAAATGTCCATCCAGATTTAGGGTTTTGCCATTCAAACACTCGATGGCAGCAGCAGGGTTTCCTGAACTCAAGAGTTGAGCAGCTTGCCTGACATTTTGGTCATCGTCACTCTGGTGGCCTTCAAGACCTGTGGGACTTTGTCCATCCATGACATCCATATCTCATTCCATGGCGTCAACTTGATTTAAACTGTGGAGCAAAACTGGTTGAATGCTCAATACCATAACATGAAGCTCTGCTTTTGCCGCAATTTTACTTCGGAGGAGTTTGGCCATGTGGCTTGAGAAACCGCTGTCAAGGATTACAGTTTACAAAAAGGTGGTTTTGATGATGCTGTGTGTAGACTATGCTGCACAGACACGTTCAAACATGACAAACATGGCTTCATCAGCCCTCTGAGCGCTCTCAAATATTCTCAATTTTGTTCAATCTCTCTGAATACTCTCTCTTCTCAACCATTGAAAGAACATTTTCGCGATATGAAAAGTGTCAATTCACAAAAGTATCTAAGTTGTTTGATTTGTTGTTCAAGAAGACCGGCCCAGAGCTCCCCTGATTGTTCAGTGCCTTCAACACGTTGATGTGTGTACACTCGCATGCATATCCATTCAAGGCATTTGTTTTCGCTTTGGGTTCCCTTATTCTCCTTTTCATGACAACAATAATATACATACAACAAATATATATATATATAATATGTATATATACTGATCTTCCAAGAATTGCCTAGAACTCAATTGTCAAAAGGAAAAACTGGACTTTCCGTGCAGTTCATGAGCTTTGGAATCGAATTGATTTAGTTACTGTATTTCTGGGGGTGAGCAACCAGGGAATCTGAGTGTTTTGAAGTCTCTCCTGCCAAAGTCAAGCTCTCGCCATTGTGGAGCACTAGCCCGCCAGCTTGCATCCTGCAAGAATGTGCAAGAATATGAAAAGTTTCTGCAGATTCTTTCCATTTGACTGCAAAGAATCTGCATATCCTGCGACGCCGCGTCATACGTCTGCCATGCCTGAGCGGAAAGCAGCGCTCACTTTGCAGACAAGTTGAACCTTTTGGGGCAGGAGCAAGAAAGAAACAAAACCTACAGTAGTAAAAGCAGACACCTGTATTTTTCCTGATCGCCTCCTTTGCTCCGGCTGAAGGGGTTTCGGCAAACCTGGATTGCGCTAGCTCGGCCACACAACAAATTTGCAAGAAATACGACTGTGTAGCGCACCATTCCGCAGGCTTGATGGTGGGAAGCACATCGTTAGCCATACTTGCCGCATCTGAAACTTGGACCTGGAGGATATTAAACGCAATCAAACCAAACGGATATGTCCGGATAGGGGCGGATGGGTGCAGATAGGTACAGTCCACCTCCAATTTAAACGACTGAAAAAGTGCTCTCACAAAGCAGGAATATGCTGGAATCATGTTCAGCTGTCCTGATTCTGATCAGCACTGCCATCAGCATCCCAACTTGATTCAGCCTGGCTTCAAGAACCAGGCCATTCAAGAACGAAGAATTTACAAAGAGCATATGTTGTCAATTTGAACTGCCATCTTTTGCAAAAATTTTGCTGGTTCGGCATCAGAAAACGAATCAAAAAAGGCTGGGTTGATGCGACTTTTTGTCACCGACCTGATGCAAAAGCAAATTTGAGACGATTCCCATCTGACGTAGACGCACATGAATTCCGGCAATGAAAAAATCAAGATCGAAAACCAAACATTTGTTTTTTACCTAGTTAGGCCCATTTTTTGGGGTATTTTGTCTTGGGCACTGACTTCTCGGCTGAGCTCTGCGTTTGCAGAAATGCTGGAATCTGTCAAGAATAAAACATGTGAGTCATGTAAGTGTCAGAACATCATCCGTTCGAGTCTGTTCTCTGCATTTTGCATGGACTGAGAAATCAACTTGCACACAATCAAGTTCCGAAGCTGGGCCTCGGCCTCCAACATCCCAGTCCCAGACAACAGTTCAACAATGTCTGTTCAAAAAATTGCCAAGACATTGCCAAACACATCTGAAAACGTGAAAGCCTTCATCTTTGGAAATGGACTCTCGCAATGTCCTTGGTGCTGAATGGCAATGAACATGTCCAAATAGAATCATCCTAAACATTAATTACCCAATCGAAGGCACGGACTGACCATGCTGCAACAGGCACGGAGCAATGGCCTTGTTCCAAGTATTGGATTGGAATGGAATGGTTTGTCACTATATACAAAAAGAAATTGGCCTCCCGAGGCTTGTGATCGGCTTTAGCCTGTAGGAACTGGGATCAGATCCAAATTGCACCGTAACCAGCAAATTGTTCAGTTCGTCTCAATTTTTCCATTACCTGCAATTGCACCTCGAAACAACCGCCGTACGAAAACAACAAGACGGGAAAGGCCACAACCTTGGTTGCAAATAATCACAAAATCTACGAAAACAAGTTGGTTGCAACACCAAATGCTCTGGAATCTGTGGAATCTCTAAAATCTGTGGACTCTGTGGAATCTGAGTTGAATGCCTTTTTCATGTGAATTTTTTGCGCGAGTAAAATACACCTTGGTCAATTCATCAGCGAGTTTGAATGTACTATCAAAATTTCCTAGACCCAATGCAATTCCAAGGTTTGGGCGAGATTACGTAATAGTACCGCGGACGCGTTCTGCCGAAAACAAAAGTCCACAGGAAGTGTCACACGGTACACGTTGCATGGTAAACACCCGCCTTCCAAATTGTCGTTCCCGGAAATGGACATGGGCTTGGTGCCCACCTCCTAAGATCAACCTTTTTGAACCAAGCAAAAAATGTTACGGTGACGCCTGAGAATTCAGCAAATGCTGGCCAATAACAACGGGTTGTCCACAGAATGCAAAAGACGGTTCGATGTCAAATTGTTGGTATGTGGTTTCAATTTTGCACCAGTGAAAAATCATGTGTTCGAACAAGCACCGTTCCGCAAACTGTTTCGTCGCAGTTGTTTGCCAGCGCAACGAAACAATACTTTTAAACACGCGCTCAACCAAAACTCGAATCGATAACACATTACTTACCGCGGCGTCTACGCAAGGTGGAGGGTAAGGTCTACGTACGCATTATCCCCAGTGGGTCCCATTGTAAGTATATACCTACAAATATATACTCACGGGCGTAACTACAAAAACAAACCACAGCAGACAGCATATATATATATATATATACAGACGTGAGACAAAAACGTGATGCACTCGAAAGCATGTCAAGGCAACAGCTACGTTTTCCTTCTTACAACGTGGGGACGTCGCAGCTGTTCACCACAACGGTGTGGTTAGGTGACCAAAAAAGGGATGGTCAGAGGGTGGGTCCTTTTTTGGATCCATTGCTCACAATTTTTGTGAGCCCACCCTCACCGCCCTTGGACCATGCTGCAGCATGATATGAAACTTGCCATGCACACCAGTGACCTGGTTTTTCTTTGCAACACAATTCGATTCACTTTGTGAAGCTTCATCGTCATGCACTCGAAAGCATGTCAAGGCAACAGCTATGTTTTCCTTCTTACAATGTGGGGACGTCGCAGCTGTTCACCACAACGGTGTGGTTAGGTGACCAAAAAGGGGATGGTCAGAGGGTGGGTCCTTTTTTGGATCCATTGCTCACAATTTTTGTGAGCCCACCCTCACCGCCCTTGGACCATGCTGCAGCATGATATGAAACTTGCCATGCACACCAGTGACCTGGTTTTTCTTTGCAACACAATTCGATTCACTTTGTGAAGCTTCATCGTCATGCACTCGAAAGCATGTCAAGGCAACAGCTATGCCTTCCTTCTTACAACGTGGGGACGTCGCAGCTGTTCACCACCCTCACTTCTCTTTAAGCTGCGCCGTACAATTGCTACTTTGTCTAAAAACTTGTCTAAGTTTCTCATGGCATCACTGTTGACTTTGGTGTGGTCGGCAAGGAAGGAATGGTCCAAGGCTCTGGACGGCAAATCTGCGATGTTGGCCTCCGTGGGAACTCTTGCAAACCAGATGTTGCTATTGAAAGACACCTCAACCTCCAAATGGAACTGCATGATGTTCTCTGCAACAATTCCTTGAGCAACGCCGCGTATGAGCGCAAATCTGACACTGCCGTTGTCGCCATAGTGAACTGGGTATGACGACGAAAGGTGGGGAGCCCACAATTCTAAGGCAACACAAGCTGCAAGCAGTTCAAGTTCATAGATGATTGTGTCCTTTGAATCAGCGCCCAAAAGGTTGCATGCATCTTGATCAAGTTGCAACCCGAACCACGCAGTGCAGTCACCTGCGGCATCGACTAAGACTCCGCCAAGTCCAGCTTTCTTCTCCTCAGGCTCATAGGAAGCACTGAGAAGACGCACCACTCTCGCACTGTGCCAGCATCAACCACCTTAGGTCCTGCCGTCTGCAAACACTTGACCATCCAACCCAGGATGTTGACCATTGATTCATCCATGTAGCTGGTTGAACCATAGGCGTGGTCAATTAGCCTCTTCCGTATCAATGCACCCAAGCGGCCATGGAGAAACCCATCGGCAAACCCAAGGCGGCCACGAATCTTCAATTTTTCGTGACGGTCGAATCTTCTCTGCTCCCCCACTTGGGTGAGGAAGCCAACGAGCTCATCAATTCTCTTCTGCGTATTTTGAACCTTCAACACACCTTTGCACGCATCACGCAGGTCAAAAGAAACTCCTAACGCATTGCACACCTCCGCAAAGTCTGTGGCCTTGCGGCCTTCAGTTGCAAAATCCCAACCTGTGAGCATGAAAATGAGCTCCATGCTATTGTGCGCTGAGTCTTGCAGTGAAGGGTTGCTCGCCACGATGAAATCATCATAGAAGTTCGTTGTGATCAGCTTTGCACCGCGAGTTGCAATGCAGTGGATCATCCTGGCCAGTCTTAGGAATGAAAAGACACTATGAGTCGCACCAAAGGGAAGAGTGCGAGACCTGTAAATCTCTACCTCCTGCTTCTCCGGGTTGTAGATGCCGAAGTAGGCAAACTTCAAATGACTTGCCAATACTGGCACCTGACGATAAGCGCTTTTCAAATCGTATGTCTTTGCAAGCACTGAAGTCTCCTTTTCAGAAGCTGTCATGGCCTGGAAGTAGGCCTTGATGGTGGCCACAAAGGTGTCAATAACGTGCAAGTCCAGCTTGGAGTTCAGGGTGCAGCTGTCATTCACCCCTGATATGCTGTAGTCATCGATCATACGAATCTTGTCCCCCTGTTGCAGGGGAAATCTTTGGGAGATTGTTGCCCCCTGTTCCAAGCGTTCCAATGGCCAAGGTCCATCAGCCCATCCTTTCTCAGTCTCTTCCATGGTCTCCTTCAAGACCGCACTATCTAGCTCTTGAGAGCTTGAGCTTTTTGTCAAGCCCAGCACCAATCTGTTTCTCTTTGAAGCATCTTCTTCAAGTTGCCCAAGGGTCGTCAAACATGGCCTATAGCAAGGCTGGAAAACACATGCCGCTTCCACCTCACCTGCAAGTGGTGAACCATTTTCCAAGATATCAAGAACCCCAACATCTTCATAGTTCAAACTCCTAAGTATTTCCCTGGTCAGCAAAATGCGTTTTCCAGCAGTAGAAGGATGCCTTGAGGCAGCCTCCACTTTTTCAAGCCTGTCCAGTTGTGCAGCCCTTGTGAGCCATGTCTTGCACCACCTCAACCTGTGCTCTGAAACCTCAGCAAAAGTATGAGAGGCATGAAAATCCAGCGCATCCTGAATGTCCGCCGGAATCCTCTTGCAGAAATTTGCCGGATGCCCCAGTTCAGTGGCTTTCCTCAGAAACGTTTCAAAGTTCCAAGGTAGCACAAAAGCAACTTCAAAACACTCATCACCGACTTTGACCCCCCTGTAGAAAAAGGTGATGTGCATGCAGAACGGGGCAAAAACCTGGCATTTGCAGGTAAAAGAACTTCCTCTCCAGTCTTTGTGAATGCTTTCTGATCGGCTTTCAAGTTTGACTGCAGAGGAGATGCACTGTCACCAGCACTGACAACATAGAAAACACCTACAGCAAATGCATCAGGAATGAGGGGAGGCAGTTTGGTTCTTCGTGGTTGCTGCTGCGCAAAAAAACTCTTGCAGTTTGCATTTCATACGCTCGACTGTCTTTGATGTCGAAAAGAGCTTCCGGCGCAATGGCCATGTTTTGGCGCTGCAGTTGCCTAAGTATACACTGAACCAGACTGATGCAAAATTTCCTGGGGTATTCTGCTTCCAAACTTGTTGCAAAAACTGTGTGCCCCTCAGCGTTCAAAGTCTTACCCCATGGTAAATGAGCATGGCTTTTGTCACCGATGGCCGCAACGACGCCGCCAATCGCGTCCATTTTGGACGCTGTCCACCGAACATACACATCTGTGAGTCGCTGAAGTGGATCTCTTGTTGGCCTTGTAGCTGCACAAAAGGTGCAGTAAGCCAGAAAAGACTGCGTGTTGGATTTTCCAACGTCACCAAAATGCCTCTGGCCACGCAGTGACTGAATAGCTTGCAGGATTCAACGTACATGGCGTTCGCCAAGTCGACCCTTAGCTGCTGATTTGAATCTAGTCCTGGTAGACCCATGGGATGTTCTTCTGACCTGAGCGGTGGTGGTCCACCATTTTTTATTAGTCGGGCCCGTGAGCATGTCCTGCACACAGGTGCTAAATGCACCCATACCAGCAAACCAGAATCTATCCAGTGATATAAAAGCTCCTTATCCTTCGGATTGAGCAAATCAAAAACACAGATGGTAGCCCTGGTTCCCTTCTTTCGAACTTTGTCCAAGGCCATTGAACTTTTCATGCCGACTTGTTTTGCGACTGAAGTAAGGGTTGCAGTGCCGCTGAACACCTCAATCATGAAGCATTGGTCAACATTGAACCCGCTCCAGACTTTTGGACACCGTCAAGACTTCTTCGGGTGGTTGGGCAGAGCATGCGCTTGAAGACAGCGCGGCTCTGCGCAAAGGTGCCACCCCTTTTAGCACTGCTCTCCATCACGTGCCTGGTCACAGCTTTTGCTTGTGTTGTAAGCAAAGCATAGAGGTGCACTGGTGGGTGTCCTGTGCCATTTGTTACGCAACTCAGCAGGCATTGGTGGAGTCTTTCTTTTTTTTTCCTCGAGTGTGGCCGATGTCGCACTAATGGCTCGGTCCTTACATGTGAGTAAGCAGACAAAACACTGTACAAGGACAAAAAAGTCCTTAGAATAAGCAAATCGATAAAACAACAAACGAAAAACACAACCACACCAAAAACGGCGACCCGCAAATCCCCCAGCCAGACTTGCGTTTCGCCAGCGGAAACAGCGAAGCAAACAGCCGAAAACAAACCAAAACACAAAAACGGGGCCAGAGCCCAAACAAAAACACCCACCGAATCGATTTGCAATCGGACGCAGTGGCAAATCCACTGCATCACACTCAAAAGCATGCGAAAGATGAATTATGTATCGCAGCTGTTCAGGCAGACATGAAGACTCTAGCTCGGAATTTAACCCAAGCATGAGACAAGCTGAACACGAAAACAGAGC